GGCATTTGCATATGACCCCGAAAAAAGAATCCGGGGACGTTCACCGTCTATTTGGCTGATAGATAGGGGACGTTACAACTTTAAAGCTGTAAAGATGTGGTCTTATGACTGACTATAAAGCTGTATAAAGATGTGGTCTTATGACTGACTATAAAGCTGTGTGTAAAGATGTGGTCTTATGACTGACTATAAAGCTGTGTGTAAAGATGTGGTCTTATGATTGACTAAAAAGCTGTATAAAGATGTGGTCTTATGACTGACTATAAAGCTGCATAAAGATGTGGTCTGATGACTGACTATAAAGCTGTATAAAGATGTGGTCTTATGACTGACTATAAAGCTGTATAAAGATGTGGTCTTATGACTGACTATAAAGATGTGGTCTTATGACTGACTATAAAGCTGTGTGCAAAGATGTGGTCTTATGACTGACTATAAAGCTGTGTGTAAAGATGTGGTCTTATGACTGACTATAAAGCTGTGTGTAAAGATGTGGTCTTATGACTGACTATAAAGATGTGGTCTTATGACTGACTATAAAGCTGTAAAGATGTGGTCTTATGACTGACTATAAAGCTGTGTGTAAAGATGTGGTCTTATGACTGACTATAAAGCTGTGTGTAAAGATGTTGTCTTATGACTGACTATAAAGCTGTATAAAGATGTGGTCTTATGACTGACTATAAAGCTGTATAAAGATGTGGTCTTATGACTGACTATAAAGCTGTATAAAGATGTGGTCTTATGACTGACTATAAAGCTGTGTGCAAAGATGTGGTCTTATGATTGACTATAAAGCTGTAAAGATGTGGTCTTATGACTGACTATAAAGCTGTATAAAGATGTGGTCTTATGACTGACTATAAAGCTGTGTGTAAAGATGTGGTCTTATGACTGACTATAAAGCTGTGTGTAAAGATGTGGTCTTATGATTGACTATAAAGCTGTATAAAGATGTGGTCTTATGACTGACTATAAAGCTGCATAAAGATGTGGTCTGATGACTGACTATAAAGCTGTATAAAGATGTGGTCTTATGACTGACTATAAAGCTGTGTGTAAAGATTATGACTGACTATAAAGCTGTATAAAGATGTGGTCTTATGATTGACTATAAAGCTGTAAAGATGTGGTCTTATGACTGACTATAAAGCTGTGTGTAAAGATGTGGTCTTATGACTGACTATAAAGCTGTGTGTAAAGATGTAGTCTTATGACTGACTATAAAGCTGTATAAAGATGTGGTCTTATGACTGACTATAAAGCTGTATAAAGATGTGGTCTTATGACTGACTATAAAGCTGTATAAAGATGTGGTCTTATGACTGACTATAAAGCTGTATAAAGATGTGGTCTTATGACTGACTATAAAGATGTGGTCTTATGACTGACTATAAAGCTGTGTGCAAAGATGTGGTCTTATGATTGACTATAAAGCTGTAAAGATGTGGTCTTATGACTGACTATAAAGCTGTATAAAGATGTGGTCTTATGACTGACTATAAAGCTGTGTGTAAAGATGTGGTCTTATGACTGACTATAAAGCTGTGTGTAAAGATGTGGTCTTATGATTGACTATAAAGCTGTATAAAGATGTGGTCTTATGACTGACTATAAAGCTGCATAAAGATGTGGTCTGATGACTGACTATAAAGCTGTATAAAGATGTGGTCTTATGACTGACTATAAAGATGTGGTCTTATGACTGACTATAAAGCTGTGTGTAAAGATGTAGTCTTATGACTGACTATAAAGCTGTATAAAGATGTGGTCTTATGACTGACTATAAAGCTGTATAAAGATGTGGTCTTATGACTGACTATAAAGCTGTGTGTAAAGATGTGGTCTTATGACTGACTATAAAGCTGTATAAAGATGTGGTCTTATGACTGACTATAAAGCTGTGTGTAAAGATGTGGTCTTATGACTGACTATAAAGCTGTGTGTAAAAATGTGGTGTTATGATTGACTATAAAGCTGTATAAAGATGTGGTCTTATGACTGACCATAAAGCTGCATAAAGATGTGGTCTGATGACTGACTATAAAGCTGTATAAAGATGTGGTCTTATGACTGACTATAAAGATGTGGTCTTATGACTGAATATAAAGCTGTGTGTAAAGATGTAGTCTTATGACTGACTATAAAGCTGTATAAAGATGTGGTCTTATGACTGACTATAAAGCTGTATAAAGATGTGGTCTTATGACTGACTATAAAGCTGTGTGTAAAGATGTGGTCTTATGACTGACTATAAAGATGTGGTCTTGTGACTGACTATAAAGCTGTGCGTAAAGATGTGGTCTTTTGACTGACTATAAAGCTGTGTGTAAAGATGTGGTCTTATAATTGACTATAAAGCTGTATAAAGATGTGGTCTTATGACTGACTATAAAGATGTGGTCTTATGACTGACTATAAAGATGTGGTCTTATGACTGACTATAAAGCTGTGTGTAAAGATGTGGTCTTATGACTGACTATAAAGCTGTATAAAGATGTGGTCTTATGACTGACTATAAAGCTGTGTGTAAAAATGTGGTGTTATGATTGACTATAAAGCTGTATAAAGATGTGGTCTTATGACTGACCATAAAGCTGCATAAAGATGTGGTCTGATGACTGACTATAAAGCTGTATAAAGATGTGGTCTTATGACTGACTATAAAGATGTGGTCTTATGACTGACTATAAAGCTGTATAAAGATGTGGTCTTATGACTGACTATAAAGCTGTATAAAGATGTGGTCTTATGACTGACTATAAAGATGTGGTCTTATGACTGACTATAAATCTGTGTGCAAAGATGTGGTCTTATGATTGACTATAAAGCTGTAAAGATGTGGTCTTATGACTGACTATAAAGCTGTATAAAGATGTGGTCTTATGACTGACTATAAAGCTGTGTGTAAAGATGTGGTCTTATGATTGACTATAAAGCTGTATAAAGATGTGGTCTTATGACTGACTATAAAGCTGCATAAAGATGTGGTCTGATGACTGACTATAAAGCTGTATAAAGATGTGGTCTTATGACTGACTATAAAGCTGTATAAAGATGTGGTCTTATGACTGACTATAAAGATGTGGTCTTATGACTGACTATAAAGCTGTATAAAGATGTGGTCTTATGACTGACTATAAAGCTGTATAAAGATGTGGTCTTATGACTGACTATAAAGATGTGGTCTTATGACTGACTATAAAGCTGTGGTCTTATGACTGACTATAAAGCTGCATAAAGATGTGGTCTTATGACTGACTATAAAGCTGTGTGTAAAGATGTGGTCTTATGACTGACTAAAGCTGTGTGTAAAGATGTGGTCTTATGACTGACTATAAAGTTCTATAAAGATGTGGTCTTATGACTGACTATAAAGCTGTATAAAGATGTGGTCTTATGACTGACTATAAAGCTGCATAAAGATGTGGTCTTATGACTGACTATAAAGCTGTGTGTAAAGATGTGGTCTTATGACTGAGTATAAAGCTGTGTAAAGATGTGGTCTTATGACTGACTATAAAGCTGTGTGTAAAGATGTGGTCTTATGACTGACTATAAAGCTGTGTGTAAAGATGTGGTCTTATGACTGACTATAAAGCTGCATAAAGATGTGGTCTGATGACTGACTAAAAAGCTGTATAAAGATGTGGTCTTATGACTGACTATAAAGATGTGGTCTTATGACTGACTATAAAGCTGTATAAAGATGTGGTCTTATGACTGACTATAAAGCTGTATAAAGATGTGGTCTTATGACTGACTATAAAGATGTGGTCTTATGACTGACTATAAAGCTGTGTGCAAAGATGTGGTCTTATGATTGACTATAAAGCTGTAAAGATGTGGTCTTATGACTGACTATAAAGCTGTATAAAGATGTGGTCTTATGACTGACTATAAAGCTGTGTGTAAAGATGTGGTCTTATGATTGACTATAAAGCTGTATAGAGATGTGGTCTTATGACTGACTATAAAGCTGCATAAAGATGTGGTCTGATGACTGACTATAAAGCTGTATAAAGATGTGGTCTTATGACTGACTATAAAGCTGTATAAAGATGTGGTCTTATGACTGACTATAAAGATGTGGTCTTATGACTGACTATAAAGCTGTATAAAGATGTGGTCTTATGACTGACTATAAAGCTGTATAAAGATGTGGTCTTATGACTGACTATAAAGATGTGGTCTTATGACTGACTATAAAGCTGTGGTCTTATGACTGACTATAAAGCTGCATAAAGATGTGGTCTTATGACTGACTATAAAGCTGTGCGTAAAGATGTGATCTTATGACTGACTAAAGCTGTGTGTAAAGATGTGGTCTTATGACTGACTATAAAGTTCTATAAAGATGTGGTCTTATGACTGACTATAAAGCTGTATAAAGATGTGGTCTTATGACTGACTATAAAGCTGCATAAAGATGTGGTCTTATGACTGACTATAAAGCTGTATAAAGATGTGGTCTTATGACTGACTATAAAGCTGAATAAAGATGTGGTCTTATGATTGACTATAAAGCTGTATAAAGATGTGGTCTTATGACTGACTATAAAGCTGTGTGTAAAGATGTGGTCTTATGACTGAGTATAAAGCTGTGTAAAGATGTGGTCTTATGACTGACTATAAAGCTGTATAAAGATGTGGTCTTATGACTGACTATAAAGCTTTGTGTAAAGATGTGGTCTTATGATTGACTATAAAGCTGCATAAAGATGTGGTCTTATGATTGACTATAAGGCTACATGAAAGTATTTTAACTACTGTACAACATTTAAAACATTTAATTATTTATTTCTTATGTTACTTTTTTTTTTTTCTACACATTTTGCTTTAAATGTTCCCATTGAATAAGTATAAAAATAATTAGAATTGAACCATGTGTTTGCATACACTGAAAGTAAGTTTTAAGAAAACTAAAAGCAAAGTGAAAGAGTGTAAAAGAACCATGATTTTTGTGAATGTTGTAAATACCTAAACAAAAAATGACTCACATGGAATGACCAATGCAGCATTGAAGACTGACCATCATGTACACTACCTATCATACTGTCATGTCGACTCAGTGACAGGGACGATGAAGGGGAGGGTGTCCCACGTGAGCGAGGACGCTCTTGCTGATAAATTGGATATTGAAATAACATGTCAAACACTAGCATAGCAGGCTGGTTTTTAAAGAGTTAGTTTAAAAACAAAAACAGCCCAGCTGTCCAGCGACAAAAACAGCCCAGCTATACCCCAACAAAAACAGCCCAGCTATACACCAACAAAAACAGCCCAGCTATACCCCAACAAAAACAGCCCAGCTGTCCCTCAACAAAAACAGCCCAGCTATACACCAACAAAAACAGCCCAGCTATACACCAACAAAAACAGCCCAGGTGCCCATCAATACTAATTTCCCAGAAAAGACTGGCTTCCTAATGGTGAAATTATTTTATTTATTCCCTGTACTGGGAATAAGGTAAGGGCCTTTGTGCTGCTGCCCTGCCACCCCTTAATCTGGCACAGCTTACAGTCAACAGGTAAGACTTACAGCAAACCTCAGCTGCTCCTCCAAGGCCAAAATTTTCTTGCGCTCTGTCTCCAGCTTGGTGTGCTCTACTGTCAGCTGCGATTCTAAGTGGATCTGTCAACAAAATCAAATGTGGATGTCAACAAAATCAAATGTGGATGTCGACAAAATCAAATGTGGATGTCGACAAAATCAAATGTGGATGTCAACAAAATCAAATGTGGATGTCAACAAAATCAAATGTGGATGTCAACAAAATCAAGTGTGGATGTCAACAAAATCAAATGTGGATGTCGACAAAATCAAATGTGGATGTCAACAAAATCAAATGTGGATGTCAACAAAATCAAATGTGGATGTCGACAAAATCAAATGTGGGTGTCGACAAAATCAAATGTGGATGTCGACAAAATCAAATGTGGATGTCAACAAAATCAAATGTGGGTGTCGACAAAATCAAATGTGGATGTCGACAAAATCAAATGTGGATGTCTACAAAATCAAATGTGGATGTCAACAAAATCAAATGTGGATGTCAGCCTAATAAATGTGGATGTCAACAAAATGACAACTGCAACTATTACTGCTTAGCATGACTCACCTTATCCATTTTGAGCTGGTTGATCTCTACCATCAATTTTTGTCTAGCAGATTCATGCTGGGCCACAAAGCTGTGTACATTTAAAGATATAACAAGTGATGTTATACACACACGTGTACATGTAAGGAAATACAGACATTTGTAAATGTAAGGAAACATACAAATTTCTCCCCTCCACCTACCCATTTCTTTAACAGCCCCCCCCCTCCCCATTCTGCCAACAGCCCCCCCCCCCCATCTTTCCAACAGCCCCTGTCTCTCACCTACCCATTTCTCTAACAGCCCCCCCCCCACTCCCCATTCCTCCACCAGCCCCCCCCCCCCCCAACTCCTTCAACAGCCCCCACTCCCCATTCCCCCAACAGCCCCCCCCCCCCCCCCCAGCTACCTGTTCCTGGACTCCACCAGTTCCTCTAGTTGTGCCTTATCAGCCTCCAGCTGAGCTGAGAGCTGGGCCTTCTCCTGCTTGAGCCTGGAGCTGCTGGCCTCTAGTGTGGCCAGTTTGGCCGACTGCTCCATCAGCTGATCCAGCGCTGTTCTTTCTTTCTCCTGGGCCAAGGCTAGAGCTGTCTGGCACTCAGCTACAACATTATTACATTCACAAGGTCACTACAAAATCTTTTGTCTTACCTAAATGGGCAATCTATTCCCTTAGGGGTCCTCCATAAATGACATCACAATCCTAGGTGGGAGGGGGGGATTCAAAATTTTCTGATAGGTGGGAGGGGAGGGGTTGAGAAAGTGTGACACATTTTAAATAGTAATGTCTGGATGTCAATTTGAATTTTTGTAAAGATTGGTTTTGTAAACTGTAATAGAATAATAAAATTCAATGTTGACTGAGCTCTATAATTATTTTATCAACCAAATAATTCAAGTAACTTGAAGGGGGTGGGGGTTTCAGTAGGTTGAGGTATAATGTCACCTTAGAGAGAGGGGAGGGTGGGGGGGGGGTTGTAATGATGGAGGGGGTAGAAAAACTTAAAAAAAAAACAACCAAAAAGTGTGGCGTTGTTTATGGATGACCCCCCACTAGATGGTTAGTCAGTATTTTCACTTACCAAGACGGTCAGTCAAGGTTTTTTCTATTTTCTCCCAGGCTCCAGATTGTGCACCAAATGTAGCTTGTAGGTTCTCAATTTGTCGCAGGAGGGGTCGTGTGGCAGAGGTTACACTCTGTGTTAGGTCCTGACTCCTGGCTTCATCCTGTTGCAGCCTCTGGTAACAACAGAACACTTGTCAGTGACAGAACCCTTGTCAGTGACAGAACCCTTGTCAGTGACAATGACAGAACCCTTGTCAGTGACAAAACCCTTGTCAGTGACAGAAACATTGTCAGTGACAATGACAGAACCCTTGTCAGTGAAAATGACAAGCCTTGTCATGACAATGACAGAACCCTTGTCATGACAATGACAGAACCCTTGTCATTGACAATGACAGAAGCCTTGTCAGTGACAATGACAGAACCCTTGTCAGTGACAATGACAGAACCCTTGTCAGTGACAATGACAGAACCCTTGTCAGTGACAATGACAGAACCCCCTGTGACATCATGACTATAACTGCTGCACATATTTACAAATATCACAAGTGAAATCTTACATCCTGTAAATGAGCGATGTCTTGTCGAAGTAAATCTTCACGTCTGCTGTGTTCTTTCTCTAGCCTTGCCATCTCTAGCCTCAGGTCATCTGCCTGGAAGGTTCAAAATAAATAACTGAAAACTTGTGGTCAGCCCAATGGTCATGTGACCACCTCCCCAAGCCCCCTGACCTGCATGATGAAAGCCTCCCTCCCCAAGCCCCCCTGACCTGCATGATGAAAGCCTCCCTCCCCAAGCCCCCCCCTGACCTGCATGATGAAAGCCTCCCTCACCAAGCCCCCTGACCTGCATGATGAAAGCCTCCCTCACCAAGCCCCCTGACCTGCATGATGAAAGCCTCCCTCCCCAAGCCCCCCTGACCTGCATGATGAAAGCCTCCCTCACCAAGCCCCCTGACCTGCATGATGAAAGCCTCCCTGCCCAAGCCCCCTTACCTGCATGATGAAAGCCTCCCTCCCCAAGCCCCCCTGACCTGCAATATGAAAGCTTCCCTCCCCAAGCCCCCTGACTTGCATGATGAAAGCCTCCCTCCCCAAGCCCCCCTGACCTGCATGATGAAAGCCTCCCTCCCCAAGCCCCCCTGACCTGCATGATGAAAGCCTCCCTCCCCAAGCCCCCCCTTACCTGTATGATGAAAGCCTCCCTCTCCAAGCCTCAATTTACCTGTATGATGAAAGCCTCCCTCTCCAAGCCTCCCTTACCTGCATGATGAAAGGCTCCCTCCCCAAGCCCCCCTGACCTGCATGATGAAAGGCTCCCTCCCCAAGCCCCCCTGACCTGCATGATGAAAGGCTCCCTCCCCAAGCCCCCCTGACCTGCATGATGAAAGCCTCCCTCACCAAGCCCCCTGACCTGCATGATGAAAGCCTCCCTGCCCAAGCCCCCTTACCTGCATGATGAAAGCCTCCCTCCCCAAGCCCCCCTGACCTGCAATATGAAAGCTTCCCTCCCCAAGCCCCCTGACTTGCATGATGAAAGCCTCCCTCCCCAAGCCCCCCTGACCTGCATGATGAAAGCCTCCCTCCCCAAGCCCCCCTGACCTGCATGATGAAAGCCTCCCTCCCCAAGCCCCCCCTTACCTGTATGATGAAAGCCTCCCTCTCCAAGCCTCAATTTACCTGTATGATGAAAGCCTCCCTCTCCAAGCCTCCCTTACCTGCATGATGAAAGGCTCCCTCCCCAAGCCCCCCTGACCTGCATGATGAAAGGCTCCCTCCCCAAGCCCCCCTGACCTGCATGATGAAAGGCTCCCTCCCCAAGCCCCCCTGACCTGCATGATGAAAGCCTCCCTCCCCAAGCCCCCCTGACCTGCATGATGAAAGCCTCCCTCCCCAAGCCCCCCTGAACTGCATGATGAAAGGCTCCCTCCCCAAGCCCCCCTGACCTGCATGATGAAAGCCTCCCTCTCCTGACGGAACCTCTGTTGCTCCCTCTCCATGGCTGCCTTGAGCTCCTCCCTAACATGCGTCTCAGCACTGAGGGCAGCTTGCTGGGCTTTACTGTCCTGGGAGGCGTTGCTGCGGTGTAGCTCTGCTATCTCCCTGTGGTGATCAATCAACAGCCATCTTAGGGAACAACAGCTTACATAGAGCCACAATCAACAGCCATCTTAGGGAACAACAGCTTACATAGAGCCACAATCAACAGCCATCTTAGGGAACAACATCTTACATAGAGCCACAATCAACAGCCATCTTAGGAAACAACACCTTACATAGAGCCACAATCAACAGCCATCTTAGGAAACAACACCTTACATAGAGCCACAATCAACAGCCATCTTAGGGAACAACACCTTACATAGAGCCACAATCAACAGCCATCTTAGGAAACAACACCTTACATAATCATCTTCAACAGCCATCTTAGGAAACAACAGCTTACATAATCATCTTCAACAGCCATCTTAGGAAACAACAGCTTACATAATCATCTTCAACAGCCATCTTAGGAAACAACACCTTACATAGAGCCATAATCAACAGCCATCTTAGGAAACAACACCTTACATAGAGCCATAATCAACAGCCATCTTAGGAAACAACACCTTACATAGAGCCACAATCAACAGCCATCTTAGGAAACAACACCTTACATAGAGCTACAATCATCTTCAACAGCCATCTTAGGAAACAACAGCTTACATAGAGACACAATCAACAGCCATCTTAGGAAACAACACCTTACATAGAGCTACAATCATCTTCAACAGCCATCTTAGGAAACAACACCTTACATAGAGCCATAATCAACAGCCATCTTAGGAAACAACACCTTACATAGAGCCATAATCAACAGCCATCTTAGGAAACAACACCTTACATAATCATCTTCAACAGCCATCTTAGGAAACAACAGCTTACATAATCATCTTCAACAGCCATCTTAGGAAACAACAGCTTACATAATCATCTTCAACAGCCATCTTAGGAAACAACACCTTACATAGAGCCATAATCAACAGCCATCTTAGGAAACAACACCTTACATAGAGCCATAATCAACAGCCATCTTAGGAAACAACACCTTACATAGAGCCACAATCAACAGCCATCTTAGGAAACAACACCTTACATAGAGCTACAATCATCTTCAACAGCCATCTTAGGAAACAACAGCTTACATAGAGACACAATCAACAGCCATCTTAGGAAACAACACCTTACATAGAGCTACAATCATCTTCAACAGCCATCTTAGGAAACAACACCTTACATAGAGCCATAATCAACAGCCATCTTAGGAAACAACACCTTACATAGAGCCATAATCAACAGCCATCTTAGGAAACAACACCTTACATAGAGCCACAATCAACAGCCATCTTAGGGAACAACACCTTACATAGAGCCACAATCAACAGCCATCTTAGGAAACAACACCTTACATAGAGCCATAATCAACAGCCATCTTAGGAAACAACACCTTACATAGAGCTACAATCATCTTCAACAGCCATCTTAGGAAACAACACCTTACATAGAGCCACAATCAACAGCCATCTTAGGAAACAACACCTTACATAGAGCCACAATCAACAGCCATCTTAGGAAACAACACCTTACATAATCATCTTTAACAGCCATCTTAGGAAACAACAGCTTACATAGAGCCACAATCCTCTTCAACAGCCATCTTAGGAAACAACACCTTACATAATCATCTTTAACAGCCATCTTAGGAAACAACAGCTTACATAGAGCCACAATCCTCTTCAACAGCCATCTTAGGAAACAACACCTTACATAATCATCTTCAACAGCCATCTTAGGAAACAACAGCTTACATAGAGCCACAATCAACAGCCATCTTAGGAAACAACAGCTTACATAGAGCCACAATCAACAGCCATCTTAGGAAACAACACCTTACATAGAGCCATAATCAACAGCCATCTTAGGAAACAACAGCTTACATAGAGCCACAATCAACAGCCATCTTAGGAAACAACACCTTACATAGAGCTACAATCATCTTTAACAGCCATCTTAGGAAACAACACCTTACATAGAGCCACAATCAACAGCCATCTTAGGAAACAACAGCTTACATAGAGCCACAATGTCACATCACTTACTTGTAGGAGTTGTCTAGTGCTGCCTGCAAACCTCTGTTCTTTTCCTGCAAGTCCTCGAGGTCACTCTGTTAAAAAAATGAATCAATAAAAAACCTTGAGAGTGATGAGATGAATGGCTGCTGTCCTAATGAATGGAGAGCGACAACATGACAATTTTACACCCCTAAAAGAATTAAACAACATGGCAATTTTACACCCCTAAAAGAATTAAACAACATGACAATTTTACACCCCTAAAAGAATTTATCAACACGACTCATGGCAAAATGACATCGAACAATTTGGCTCCAGACATAAAAAAGTCACTGACAAGTTTAAAAAGTGACTAACAAGTGACTGACCATAAGTTTAAAAAGTGACTGACCTTAAGTTTAATGACCTCCTTATCTTGTCTTTGAACAGCACTGTTTAGCTGGTTTATTGCTTCTGTAACCAAATGTGTAAGGACAGGTTTATTACAGGCAGGTGGTATGTAAGGACAGGTTTATTACAGGCAGGTGGTATGTAAGGACAGGTTTATTACAGGCAGGTGGTATGTAAGGACAGGTTTATTACAGGTAGTGCCATGTAAGGACAGGTTTATTACAGGCAGGTGGTATGTAAGGACAGGTTTATTACAGGCAGGTGGTATGTAAGGACAGGTTTATTACAGGCAGGTGGTATGTAAGGACAGGTTTATTACAGGCAGGTGGTATGTAAGGTCAGGTTTATTACAGGCAGGTGGTATGTAAGGACAGGTTTATTACAGGCAGGTGGTATGTAAGGACAGGTTTATTACAGGCAGGTGGTATGTAAGGACAGGTTTATTACAGGCAGATGGTATGTAAGGACAGGTTTATTACAGGCAGGTGGTATGTAAGGACAGGTTTATTACAGGCAGGTGGTATGTAAGGACAGGTTTATTACAGGTAGTGCCATGTAAGGACAGGTTTATTACAGGCAGGTGGTATGTAAGGACAGGTTTATTACAGGCAGGTGGTATGTAAGGACAGGTTTATTACAGGCAGGTGGTATGTAAGGACAGGTTTATTACAGGCAGGTGGTATGTAAGGACAGGTTTATTACAGGCAGGTGGTATGTAAGGACAGGTTTATTACAGGCAGATGGTATGTAAGGACAGGTTTATTACAGGCAGTGCCATGTAAGGACAGGTTTATTACAGGCAGGTGGTATGTAAGGACAGGTTTATTACAGGCAGGTGGTATGTAAGGACAGGTTTATTACAGGCAGGTGGTATGTAAGGACAGGTTTATTACAGGTAGTGCCATGTAAGGACAGGTTTATTACAGGCAGGTGGTATGTAAGGACAGGTTTATTACAGGCAGGTGGTATGTAAGGACAGGTTTATTACAGGCAGGTGGTATGTAAGGACAGGTTTATTACAGGCAGGTGGTATGTAAGGACAGGTTTATTACAGGCAGGTGGTATGTAAGGACAGGTTTATTACAGGTAGTGCCATGTAAGGACAGGTTTATTACAGGCAGGTGGTATGTAAGGACAGGTTTATTACAGGCAGGTGGTATGTAAGGACAGGTTTATTACAGGCAGGTGGTATGTAAGGACAGGTTTATTACAGGCAGGTGGTATGTAAGGACAGGTTTATTACAGGCAGGTGGTATGTAAGGACAGGTTTATTACAGGCAGGTGGTATGTAAGGTCAGGTTTATTACAGGCAGGTGGTATGTAAGGACAGGTTTATTACAGGCAGGTGGTATGTAAGGACAGGTTTATTACAGGCAGTGCCATGTAAGGACAGGTTTATTACAGGCAGGTGGTATGTAAGGACAGGTTTATTACAGGTGGTGCCATGTAAGGACAGGTTTATTACAGGTAGGTGGTATGTAAGGACAGGTTTATTACAGGCAGGTGGTATGTAAGGTCAGGTTTATTACAGGCAGGTGGTATGTAAGGACAGGTTTATTACAGGCATGTGGTATGTAAGGACAGGTTTATTACAGGCAGGTGGTATGTAAGGACAGGTTTATTACAGGCATGTGGTATGTAAGGACAGGTTTATTACAGGCAGGTGGTATGTAAGGACAGGTTTATTACAGGCAGATGGTATGTAAGGACAGGTTTATTACAGGCAGGTGGTATGTAAGGACAGGTTTATTACAGGCATGTGGTATGTAAGGACAGGTTTATTACAGGCATGTGGTATGTAAGGACAGGTTTATTACAGGCAGGTGGTATGTAAGGACAGGTTTATTACAGGTAGTGCCATGTAAGGACAGGTTTATTACAGGCAGGTGGTATGTAAGGACAGGTTTATTACAGGCAGGTGGTATGTAAGGACAGGTTTATTACAGGCAGATGGTATGTAAGGACAGGTTTATTATAGGTAGTGCCATGTAAGGACAGGTTTATTACAGGCAGGTGGTATGTAAGGACAGGTTTATTACAGGTAGTGCCATGTAAGGACAGGTTTATTGCAGGTAGTGCCATGTAAGGTCAGGTTTATTACAGGCAGGTGGTATGTAAGGACAGGTTTATTACAGGCAGGTGGTATGTAAGGACAGGTTTATTACAGGTAGTGCCATGTAAGGACAGGTTTATTACAGGCAGTGCCATGTACGGACAGGTTTATTACAGGCAGGTGGTATGTAAGGACAGGTTTATTACAGGTAGTGCCATGTAAGGACAGGTTTATTACAGGCAGGTGGTATGTAAGGACAGGTTTATTACAGGCAGGTGGTATGTAAGGACAGGTTTATTACAGGCAGGTGGTATGTAAGGACAGGTTTATTACAGGCAGGTGGTATGTAAGGACAGGTTTATTACAGGCAGTGCCATGTAAGGACAGGTTTATTACAGGCAGGTGGTATGTAAGGACAGGTTTATTACAGGTAGTGCCAAGTAAGGACAGGTTTATTACAGGCAGGTGGTATGTAAGGACAGGTTTATTACAGGCAGGTGGTATGTAAGGTCAGGTTTATTACAGGCAGGTGGTATGTAAGGACAGGTTTATTACAGGCAGTGCCATGTAAGGACAGGTTTATTACAGGCAGGTGGTATGTAAGGACAGGTTTATTACAGGTAGTGCCATGTAAGGACAGGTTTATTACAGGTAGGTGGTATGTAAGGACAGGTTTATTACAGGCAGGTGGTATGTAAGGTCAGGTTTATTACAGGCAGGTGGTATGTAAGGACAGGTTTATTACAGGTAGTGCCATGTATGGTCAGGTTTATTACAGGTAGTGCCATGTATGGTCAGGTTTATTACAGGCAGGTGGTATGTAAGGACAGGTTTATTACAGGCAGGTGGTATGTAAGGACAGGTTTATTACAGGCAGGTGGTATGTAAGGACAGGTTTATTACAGGCAGGTGGTATGTAAGGACAGGTTTATTACAGGCAGGTGGTATGTAAGGACAGGTTTATTACAGGCAGGTGGTATGTAAGGACAGGTTTATTACAGGCAGGTGGTATGTAAGGACAGGTTTATTACAGGCAGGTGGTATGTAAGGACAGGTTTATTACAGGCAGGTGGTATGTAAGGACAGGTTTATTACAGGCAGGTGGTATGTAAGGACAGGTTTATTACAGGCAGATGGTATGTAAGGACAGGTTTATTACAGGCAGTGCCATGTAAGGACAGGTTTATTACAGGCAGGTGGTATGTAAGGACAGGTTTATTACAGGCAGGTGGTATGTAAGGACAGGTTTATTACAGGCATGTGGTATGTAAGGACAGGTTTATTACAGGCAGGTGGTATGTAAGGACAGGTTTATTACAGGTAGTGCCATGTAAGGACAGGTTTATTACAGGCAGGTGGTATGTAAGGACAGGTTTATTACAGGCAGGTGGTATGTAAGGACAGGTTTATTACAGGCAGGTGGTATGTAAGGACAGGTTTATTACAGGCAGGTGGTATGTAAGGACAGGTTTATTACAGGCAGGTGGTATGTAAGGACAGGTTTATTACAGGCAGTGCCATGTAAGGACAGGTTTATTACAGGCAGGTGGTATGTAAGGACAGGTTTATTACAGGCAGGTGGTATGTAAGGACAGGTTTATTACAGGCAGATGGTATGTAAGGACAGGTTTATTACAGGTAGTGACATGTAAGGTCAGGTTTATTACAGGCAGGTGGTATGTAAGGACAGGTTTATTACAGGCAGGTGGTATGTAAGGACAGGTTTATTACAGGCAGGTGGTATGTAAGGACAGGTTTATTACAGGCAGGTGGTATGTAAGGACAGGTTTATTACAGGCAGGTGGTATGTAAGGACAGGTTTATTACAGGTAGTGCCATGTATGGTCAGGTTTATTACAGGTAGTGCCATGTAAGGACAGGTTTATTACAGGCAGGTGGTATGTAAGGACAGGTTTATTACAGGCAGGTGGTATGTAAGGACAGGTTTATTACAGGCAGGTGGTATGTAAGGACAGGTTTATTACAGGTAGAGACATGTAAGGTCAGGTAGGGATAAGATGCTGGCTCCTACCTGCTTGCTTCTTCTCCATGTCCTCCTTAGTATCCAACACAGAGGTCAGCCTCTCCAGCTCTTTTGTTACATCTTCCAGCTTTTTTCTGGACAGAGTTATACAACAATTATAGATTTACAATCATATAGTTATACAACAATTATAGATATACAACAATATAGTTATACAACAATTATAGATATACAATAATATAGCTATACAACAATATACTTATACAACAATAGTTATACAGTATACAAGATAATTATACAACAATATAGATATACAACAATATAGTTATACAGTATGCAAGATAATTATACAACAATATAGTTATACAACAATATAGATATACAACAATATAGTTATACAACAATTATAGATATACAATAATATAGCTATACAACAATATACTTATACAACAATAGTTATACAGTATACAAGATAATTATACAATATAGATATACAACAATATAGTTATACAGTATGCAAGATAATTATACAACAATATAGTTATACAACAATATAGATATACAACAATATAGTTATACAACAATTATAGATATACAATAATATAGCTATACAACAATATACTTATACAACAATAGTTATACAGTATACAAGATAATTATACAACAATATAGAAATACAACAATATAGTTATACAGTATACAAGATAATTATACAACAATATAGTCATACAACAATATAGTTATACAATGACAGACAAAGTAATATAACACAACAACCACATCTGATACAGGACAGCATCTGATACAGGACAGCATCTGATACAGGACAGTGTCTGATACAGGACAGTATGATACAGGACAGTGTCTGATACAGGACAGTGTCTGATACAGGACAGTGTCTGATACAGGACAGTATGATACAGGACAGCATCTGATACAGGACAGTGTCTGATACAAGAAAGCAAGAAAGATGTTCAAGTTGCCGTACCTCTGTGAGGCAATGGTTGCATCAGTCTCCCTCTCTTTGGCCCTGAGTTTCTTGATGATGTTGCTGTTCTGGAGCTGCTGCTTGCTCAGTTTTTCTCCTACAGATAACACTTCATGTCACATTGGGCACGATAAAAGGGGGGGGGGGGGAAAGGGGGGAGACGACCCACACCACCACAGCTACATTTTTTGTTAGGAGAAATTAAATGTAAGTTAGTAAGCTAAGTCTAGATAAAATGTAGTCAATTGTTAAAACCTTCTTCCAAGAGTTGGGTCACTTGTTCTTGCTTCTCATCCAGCAGAGCTTTAAGATCATAGCCAGCAGATCTAGATACAAACATTAATGCTTTAAGATCATAGTTAGCAGACCTAGATACAAACATTAATGCTTTAAGATCATAGCCAGCAGATAGGTCTATACAGTCTAACCAAAGACTTTCACTACCTTTTTTCCAGTTCCTTTTCAGTTGATGCCAATACTTGTTTGAGTGATTCTTTCTCCTGTAACAACAACAGACAACAATCATTTCTGTGACAAATTAAGTCTGTAGGCCACTACACTAATTCTATGATAAATTAGGTCTGTAGGCCACAACACCAATTCTATGACAAATTAGGTCTGTATGCCACAACACCAATTCTATGACAAATTAGGTCTGTATGCCACAACACCAATTCTATGACAAATTAGGTCTGTATGCCACAACACCAATTCTATGACAAATTAAGTCTGTAGGCCACTACACTAATTCTATGATAAATTAGGTCTGTATGCCACAACACCAATTCTATGACAAATTAGGTCTGTATGCCACAACACCAATTCTATGACAAATTAAGTCTGTAGGCCACTACACTAATTCTATGATAAATTAGGTCTGTAGGCCACAACACCAATTCTATGATAAATGAAATGTAGCAAAAGATAACAACCTTGAGGACTTGCTGCAGCTTTTTCTCAGCCTCTCCAAGTCTAGCTGTGAACTCCTGAGTGAGGGCTGTCAGGTCAGCACTTTCAGCTTCCCTTGTCTCCTCCAGCTGCAGCAGTTGTCTTCACAAGACAAACAGATGTTAGCTGGTACCCAAGCTAGGGGGGGGGGATTAGTTTCTCTCATGGAATAGGTCAGTTTTGTGTGTCTGGTACCCACACTGGGGGGGGGGGGGGGATTAGTTTCTCTCATGGAATAGGTCAGTTTTGTGTGTCTGGTACCCACGCTGGGGGGGGGGGGGGGGAATTAGTTTCTCTCATGGAATAGGTCAGTTTTGTGTGTCTGGTACCCACGCTGGGGGGGGGGGGGGGGGAATTAGTTTCTCTCATGGAATAGGTCAGTTTTGTGTGTCTGGTACCCACGCTGGGGGGGGGGGGGGAATTAGTTTCTCTCATGGAATAGGTCAGTTTTGTGTGTCTGGTACCCACGCTGGGGGGGGGGGGGGAAATTAGTTTCTCTCATGGAATAGGTCAGTTTTGTGTGTCTGGTACCCACGCTGGGGGGGGGGGGGGGGGAATTAGTTTCTCTCATGGAATCGGACAGTTTTGTGTGTCTGGTACCCACGCTGGGGGGGGGGGGGGGAATTAGTTTCTCTCATGGAATCGGACAGTTTTGTGTGTCTGGTACCCACGCTGGGGGGGGGGGGGGGGGGGGGAATTAGTTTCTCTCATGGAATCGGACAGTTTTGTGTGTCTGGTACCCACGCTGGGGGGGGGGATTAGTTTCTCTCATGGAATCGGACAGTTTTGTGTGTCTGGTACCCACCAGAGCTGAGTGGACCCAGGGACATCTTGAAAAGTCCAGAGAACTCAAGACTTTGGACTTAGCAGTCATGCATCTAACCACATCATTTCTTTGTGTGGGTGGTCCAGCTTATGTGACCACATTTTGTGTGGGTGGTCCAGCTTATGTGACCACATTTTGTGTGGGTGGTCCAGCTTATGTGACCACATTTTGTGTGGGTGGTCCAGCTTATGTAACCACATTTTGTGTGGGTGGTCCAGCTTATGTGACCACACTTTGTGTGGGTGGTCCAGCTTATGTAACCACATTTTGTGTGGGTGGTCCAGCTTATGGTCTTGCATCATGGAGAAGGGGGGGGGGGGGTAAATAACATTGGGGAAAATAATATATTTGGGTTACAGTAGAATCAATCCAGAAGAAATGTACCCGAGCGGTTTACAGACATTGCTTTAGGACAGGAATTTTAGACAATGCAATGAAACAACTCTACTGTAATTATGGTAATACACAGATCCTGTGAAGAATTCCTACAAAAGGTTAAATGGACTCACTGTCTGAGAATGTTATTGTCTTCTGTGAGCTCATGGTTGTCTTTACTCAGCTGGATCAGCTTGCTTTCTCTGGCCTGTAGCACCTCCGCCATTTCTGCTAGTTTCTGTAACAAGGTGACAAACATTTGACAATGACAGCGTTTTGTTTTTTAAAATATAATTTTACAGCATGTTATTATATATATACTAATAGAAGTGAGAAGTTTGTATATTTTGTTTTGTTTGTTTGTCTGTTCCGTTTGATGACAACATCTGAACTAGAACTGTAAATTACGTATTTATGTAGAGAATAATTTTCTTTTTATCCCAAACTGTTAAACACAAATTTATTTAAAGAAGTTAATTTATTTATTGATATACTCATTTCTAGAAACACCCCTTTAATTATAAAAGTTCAGAACAAGTACTATATTTTCAAAACAAATTAAAAAACATTCACCGGCTTAGTGACGGCACTTGATTTATTTACTTACTTTCAAAACAAACATGGCGGCTTCCATGGAAGGCCATATTGCCCATTCAAAAGTTTAACGCATTATTAAGCTAAATTGTACAGTGCGAAATCACAACACACATTATTGGTTCTAATTCATTAATATTAGTTTGACGTTAGATTTAATAATTTATTAATTTATTATTTAAATTAGGTTTGAGCTCAGAAAATATAGAAAGAAATAGATTTTTTTAAAGACAAAAATATGTAAGCTGAGGTGTGACTTCTTTTTAGATGTGAATGATAAAGTTGCCTTTTGGGACTTGGCGGGACACGGGGCAGGTGAAGTTGAGTTTATATGTGACCTCAGCATATAAATGGATAGTTTGGCCCATGCTTAGACAAAATCGATGTAGTAAAAGACAAACATATTGTCTGAGGCTTAAAGGGACACTGGCAGGTGGAGTAGAGTTCACCTGTTTATGTGACCTCAACATATAAAGGGATAGTGTGGTCAGATCCATGCTCAGCCAAGATAGGTGTTTTTAAAAGACAAAAATATGTTGTCTGAGGTGTGACGTCTTTTTGTGACAATGTGTGACAGTGAGGACTACCAAGTTATCCAAGGATAACCGGTAGTCTAGTAATCAATTTAAAAAAATATTGTTTAAAAAATAGGTTTCACCAAATTTTGTTTCAAGTACCAGTTTGAATACAGGAAGGTGCAAAAGTAATAAATAGCTCTGATACTACCATAGATAAGCATACAGAGACAAATGGTGCCATGAGATTAGTTGATATAAAATAACATCACAGCAAACATTTCAATAGTTTTCAATCAGTTCAGTCTCCATGAAATAGTCGGAACATGTTTTATAATTGTCAATATAAAACAAAAAAAATAAAAACAACATGTAATAAATTCTTTTTTTTTTTTGTAAAAAAATAAAAAAAAAACTAGGAAAAGAATCTACAGTGTGGCTATTGAGCATGTGAAGTAAATTAACATCTTTCCACCCAAATACTAAAAACTTGACATCTTTCTACCCAAATACTAAAAACTTGACATCTTTCTACCCAAATACTAAAAACTTGACATCTTTCTACCAAAATACTAAAAACTTGACATCTTTCTACCCAAATACTAAAAACTTGACATCTTTCTACCAAAATACTAAAAACTTGACATCTTCCTCGCAAATACTAAAAACTTGACATCTTTCTACCCAAATACTAAAAACTTGACATCTTTCTACCCAAATACTAAAAACTTGACATCTTTTTACCCAAATATAAAAACTTGACATCTTTCCACCCAAATATAAAAACTTGACATCTTTCTACCCAAATATAAAAACTTGACATCTTTCTACCCAAATATAAAAACTTGACATCTTTCTACCCAAATATAAAAACTTGACATCTTTCCACCCAAATATAAAAACTTGACATCTTTCTACCCAAATATAAAAACTTGACATCTTTCCACCTAAATACTAGAAACTTGACATCTTCCCACCCTAATACTAAAATCTTGACATCTTCCCACCCAAATGTTAAAAACTTGTCATTCTCCCTACCAAATTACTAAAAACTTGACATTTTCCTAAACAAATGGTAAACATTTTCCAACTGAAATACTAAAACCGTGACCTTTTCCCCACCCAAATAATAAAACCTTGACATTTCCCCACCCAAATAATAAAAACGACATTTTTTCCCACCCAAAAACTACAATGTGGACATATTCTCCCAAAGTTTTAGTAAAAGCATGCTAGCTAACAAAAAGGTCAATGCCAACACAAAAACCCCAAGAAAAGGATTTAAAGCCAATACATTTGAAAAGCCCTCAGCCATGCCGCATCCTGCCAGCTGTTGGTACACAATGTTCCTATAACAACAAGGGAAGTCACTCACATTTTCTTATAAATAATTGCCACTCTGGTCCTGTCAAACATTTAGCTAATAGCTTAAAATGAATGATAAAAGATGACTATTGCAAGTCATTATTACTGTCACTTCCCTTACTCTTATTCAATGGAGTTTAACTGTGCCAGAACTAGAATATCAAAGCCTTAAACATGACATGTCCCTAGGCTGGCAGACTTAGCATGGCAAGTTCAATCCTTTATTTACCTGCCCCCCATGCACCTTCTGCTGTAAAATGGTTTGAGTCAGCTGAAACATAGGACCAATCAACACACATGAAACATAGGACCAATCAACACACATGAAACATAGGGCCAATCAACACACATGAAACATAGGACCAATCAACACACATGAAACATAGGACCAATCAACACACATGAAACATAGGACCAATCAACACACATGAAACATAGGACCAATCAACACACATGAAACATAGGGCCAATCAACACACATGAAACATAGGACCAATCAACACACATGAAACATAGGGCCAATCAACACACATGAAACATAGGACCAATACCAATCAACACACATGAAACATAGGGCCAATCAACACACATGAAACATAGGACCAATCAACACACATGAAACATAGGACCAATACCAATCAACACACATGAAACATAGGACCAATCAACACACATGAAACATGCAGTAGGACCAATCAACACACATGAAACATAGCACCAATCAACACACATGAAACATAGGACCAATCAACAGACATGAAACATAGGACCAATCAACACACATGAAACATAGGACCAATCAACACACATAAAACATGCAGTAGGACCAATCAACAGACATGAAACATAGGACCAATCAACACACATGAAACATAGGACCAATCAACACACATGAAACATAGGACTAATCAACACACATGAAACATAGGACCAATCAACACACATGAAACATAGGACCAATCAACACACATGAAACATAGGACCAATACCAATCAACACACATGAAACATAGGACCAATCAACACACATGAAACATGCAGTAGGACCAATCAACACACATGAAACATAGGACCAATCAACACACATGAAACATAGGACCAATCAACACACATGAAACATAGGACCAATACCAATCAACACACATGAAACATAGGACCAATCAACACACATGAAACATGCAGTAGGACCAATCAACACACATGAAACATAGGACCAATCAACACACATGAAACATAGGACCAATCAACAGACATGAAACATGCAGTAGGACCAATCAACAGACATGAAACATAGGACCAATCAACACACATGAAACATAGGACCAATCAACACACATGAAACATGCAGTAGGACCAATCAACAGACATGAAACATAGGACCAATCAACACACATGAAACATAGGACCAATCAACACACATGAAACATGCAGTAGGACCAATCAACAGACATGAAACATAGGACAAATCAACACACATGAAACATAGGACCAATCAACACACATGAAACATGCAGTAGGACCAATCAACAGACATGAAACATAGGACCAATCAACACACATGAAACATAGGACCAATCAACAGACATGAAACATGCAGTAGGACCAATCAACAGACATGAAACATAGGACCAATCAACACACATGAAACATAGGACCAATCAACACACATGAAACATAGGGCCAATCAACACACATGAAACATAGGACCAATCAACACACATGAAACATAGGACCAATCAACACACATGTAAGAAGGTAATCTCCTACTAGTTTTATGGGGGAGGAGGCAGATCAAGTAATATGCAAGAGGTGTATTTGGGGACGGGGGGCGGGGGAGGATTGATAAGTGGGGATAAATGGAGGGAAGGTAATTGTCAATGTTCTTTGTCCTAACTAAACTACTTTATCTTAGTGTAAGCTTGGTGCTGGAACGTTAATAAATGTGTTTACACATGGTGAAGCAGATGCAAGCTAGATGTCAACACATGCCAGCTAGATGTCAGCACACACCAGCTAGATGTCAGCACACGCCAGCTAGATGTCAACACATGCCAGCTAGATGTCAGCACATGCCAGCTAGATGTCAGCACATGCCAGCTAGATGTCAGCACAGGCCAGCTAGATGTCAGCACATGCCAGCTAGATGTCAACACATGCCAGCTAGATGTCAGCACATGCCAGCTAGATGTCAGCACAGGCCAGCTAGATGTCAACACATGCCAGCTAGATGTCAGCACATGCCAGCTAGATGTCAGCACATGCCAGCTAGATGTCAGCACATGCCAGCTAGATGTCAGCACATGCCAGCTAGATGTCAGCACACGCCAGCTAGATGTCAGCACATGCCAACTACGTGTCATCTAGGTGTTAGCACCAGGTACTCACCTTCAATAATGTCATTGGGTTGTAAGGATTGTTTGAAGCTTCCTCACTGGCAAGGTGGGCAAAATCTGAAAACATTCATCAAACTAGTTTAACCAATCACTCTAACAAAATCTGTAAACATTCATCAAACTAGTTTAACCAATCACTCTAACAAAATATGAAAACATTCATTAAACTAGTTCAACCAATTAATCTCACTGAAGTGGTCCACACTAATTAACACATCATCAGCTTAAGTTTAAAACTCTTTATTTTATAACGTTACTAGCCATCTTTTAGAAGGTTCATTAGATAAATCAGTAACCACTGAAATAAAGCTGCATTTGAACGGCATCATAAGGAAAAAGATTATACTTTGGATGGCATTTGAATGCTATCATTAAGGCAAAAGTTCATACTTTGAATGTCATGATAATACTTTATACAGATGATTCATTTAAGTTGTTTAATAGATTAGATGTTTGTCAATGTAGTTTAACAAGATAGATACTAGTTAATGTGGTTAGACAGAGACCATGTGGTTAGAGATCATGCGGTTAGACAGAGACCATGTGGTTAGACAGAGACCATGTGGTTAGACAGAGACCATGTGGTTAGACAGAGACCATGTGGTTAGACAGAGACCATGTGGTTAGAGACAAGTGAATGAGACACCTTACCCTCATCCCGCCACACTGAGGCCTCCCCACGCTCTGGACTCAGGCGGTCAAGTTCTCCCTTACTGTTGGCACTAGAGCTGGACTGACTGTCAGAGCCCACATGACCTTGCACAGATCTCTGGAGCGCTATCTTCAGAGGTGATAAATCAAAGGACTGGTACTCCCCGTTAGAGTGCGGGGCTGAAATAATTTCTATGTCCGAGGAGGTGGTAGTTTCAATCTCATCACTGGACTCATGGCCACTGTAGGCACTTCTCTCAGAGTCTACCTTGGAGCTTTCAGACTTCTCTCCACTGGAATGGTTCTCACTGCCTGAGTCTTCCGTCTTGCTCAGGTCATCCATGGCCTCTTCAATCATACACTTGACGTAGGAGGAACTCATTCTTTCATCAGAATCTTCTGCTGTGGCATCATCTGCAAACAGAGAGTACGGGGGGTCCGGCTCCACCACTGACCTGTCCACAACTGTGTCCGTGCTGCTGTCAAATCTGCTGGTATCAGAGCTTGAGCCCGTGCTGCTGGCCTGACCTTCAGGAAGGTCGAGGTCACTGCTGGTTCTTGAGTTGCCCATGTCTGTGCTAGTGTGTAGTGTGGAGCTGCTGTCTGAGCTCTGGTCACACAGAGAAGCAACGCTGACACAGTCTAGCAACAACTCAGACTTCCCACACATGACGGCTGGACTCTCATCACAGATGTCATCCCCACCACCCTGTACAGTAGTGCTGACCATTGTTCCATCAGCTGATCCTATAACATGCTCCTGTAAAGAATCACTTAAGGGTGCCACAGCCTCAGTTAAGTTTGTTAGAGGTATAGCACTACCTTCTCTTGTGGAATTTAAGGAAAAAAAATCTTTTTCTACTGGTAATAAATTACTAATGTTTTGTAATTCTGCTGGGCTGTTTTCTTCTGTTAGAGAAAATATATGTTTGGCTGATGCTGCATTCTGGGTTATATTGACCTCTCCTGAACTTGTAGCACAGTTCTCTAGGCTAAATCTGTCATATACAGTTGCAGTGTCAAGGTGATGTGTACCCAGCACATCATGATGTGTTGTCTCCTGTACATCAGGATGTGTTGTCTCTTGTACATCATGATGTGTTGTGTCCTGTACATCATGATGTGTTGTGTCCTGTACATCAGGATGTGTTGTCTCTTGTACATCATGATGTGTTGTCTCCTTTACATCATGTGTTGTCTCCTGTACATCAGGATGTATTGTCTCAGGCACATCATGATGTATTGTCTCAGGCACATCATGATGTATTGTCTCAGGCACATCATGATGTGTTGTCTCCTGTACATCATGATGTGTTGTCTCCTTTACATCATGATGTGTTGTCTCTTGTACATCAGGATGTGTTGTCTCCTTTACATCATGATGTGTTGTCTCCTGTACATCATGATGTGTTGTCTCAGGCACATCATGATGTGTTGTGTCCTGTACATCATAGTGTGGCTCATGCACATCATGATGGGCCTCCAGCATTTGTGGAACATCTAAAACGTTTTCAGGTAAACTTTCATCAAGGTCATTTTCCAACATACTCTCTTCAATGGGAAAATCTTTCCAGTCTGAGGTGTCAGCTCCATGATTGGACTGAGCTGTGTTGTGATCTAAGCCGACACCGTGCAACACATCTACTCTATCATCTGATAACTCCCCTTCTTTTCTCACTTCACTAACAGAATCCTCTGTAGCCTGTGTTCTCTTCTGCTGTGCCAGTGTTTCAGTCGTGATGTCAGCAGCACTGTTTGACCATGGCAGACTCCAGGAGGAATGGTGGTCAGGTGCTGAGTTGGCTTCTTTCTTTCCTCCAGTTCCCATCCAAGCTGACCAGAAATCTCCTTCCTGTCCCACAGACTTTTCTTCAATCACATTTTTACTGATGGACTCACCAGTCTCTACAGTGGAAAAAATGGTACAGCTATTGTAAAACATGTTAGGTACAAAACAATGGAGTTGGTAGAGTACACCAGCATGACAGTTATATTACTAAGCTACACCAGTGCTGACAAAACAGGTGACTACTTTGCTCACATGGACGGCGTGGCCTAGCAGTAGAGAGATAGACTGCTAACTCAAGCCTTGAGTTCAAATCCGGGTTCAAATCAGTGGAACATCACTGAGTCCACCCAGCTCTGATGGGTACCAAACTTACGTTAGTTAAAGAAAGGCAGCTGGGCATAGTGCTGACCACACTATACCTTCATATGAACTCTTCTTCATCTGCCCCATGTGTCGTGGGCACGAAGGGGATTAAGAAGAGAAGAAGACTTTGCTCACAAGTTAAAAAAAGACCAGTTATAACATATCAAGTATTATTAAATCACCCAAGCTAAACATATAGAGAAGCTTAAAAACAAAATTCTCATCAAATTTATTTGTTAAATTTCTAAAAATAAATGTACAAAAATAATACCTTCATTTTTTGGCATAACACTACACTTATTGAGGCTTAAGCTAATATGATTATGGTGTATTCAATCAATTACCTTTTTTCTTTTTCTCTTTATTAGAGGGGCCATCTTCAATGTCAAGTACCTTGTCAATCTTTTTTTGTGCATTTTTCAATGCCTGTGAGGCAAGACTGGTGATACCAGATGCATCCCACCAGCTCATAGTGAAATCTCACTCTAAAACCCAAGATTGCTTGCCAACAACCTGGAAAATATTCTTATTTAGTTTTATCTAATTTTTAAATTTATGGTTAGAAATTTTTAATTAGGGTTAGTATTATTAGACTATTAGGGTTGGGGTTAGCATTGACATTGCATTATCATTATGTGACATTAGCAAGCCATGTGTAGGCTATAGATTTAGATCTATTCTATATTTCAGTTAGATCTAAGTACCAGTAACCTAACACTCCTTTTTTAAAAAGAAGATTCTATTTAATAAAATCGATGCCAGCTGGACATCTATCAGCTAGAATAGATAGTAGATAGATTCTCAGGTAATCTATCATTTTAGGCTAGTAATGTGCAAAAAAGTTACCTTATTGTTAAGGCTTTAATAGAAGTACATTGTGATACATTTGTGTCAAATATTATAGATAACTGAATAATAAACCAAAATAAATGACTAAGTATATCAATGTAGACCAGAAATTTACTTTAAATTTAAACGACAGTGTTTGCGAGCAAGACTGCTATATATATAATTACAGCAGCCATCTGTAAAATAGAATGGCTTCCCCTGAATCTCCCACCATAAGTTTACCACAAAAAAAAACCTTAAACAAGATGGCTGCTAAAGTAAATGAGCTGGGCTGCATCAGATGAAAACATCGCTAGTCTTTAATTTTAATACTGAAAAGTTTTAGGCCGATTCTAGCCGGAATAAGATACGCATGCGCAATGGAGAGAAACTATGACTTGCATTCTTGGCCATGTTTTCGATGGTACTGTGCATGCGTGTGTTTACAACCACTGAACCCTAACCCTATCCCTAATCCTAGCCCTAACCCTAGCTCAGCTATTAAGGTCACTGCCCAAGCGCAGAACTATCTTTTGCCAACCAAGTGGAGACACTAGGGTGAAAAATCTTTTTCCGAGTAGTCACTTTGAAAGTTTTAATACAATTGTTTAAAAACAGGTACATAAATGAATCTTTGAAACAATTTTGTAAAATTTAAAACATGTGAAATAATTACTAAAATTTAAGGAGTCACCTTTTTTTCTGTCTCGGCAGATTTTACGTACGTATCCAAACCTTACTAACTAAAATGACAGATTACTGACGGAATTCTTGATCTAGATTCGGTAATCTATCGTTTTAGGTACGTAACATCGCCCACGGCTAGTAATGTACGAAAAAGTTACCTCATTTTCAAGGCTTTAATAGAAGTATATTGTGATATAATTTGTGTCAAATATTATAGATAAATGAATAATAAACCTAAATCAATGGCTAAATATATCAATTTAGGCAAGAAATTATCTTTAAACAGCAGTGTTTGTGAGCAGGATTTGCTATATAAAAAGCAGCCATCTGTAAGTTAGAGTGGCTTCCCCTGAATCTTGCGCTATAAGTTTACAATAGGGGTCATCCATTTATGCCGTCCACAAAAATTCACTTATTTCCCTTTTAAAAGTCCATACGCGTCCGCAAGAGTCAATTTTTTTTCGGGACACCCCCCCCCCCCCCCCCCCCCCCCCACCGTGTGGACGTCATAAATGGATGATCCCATATTAAAAAAATAAACAAGATGGCTGCTATAGTAAATGAGCATGGTTGCATCTGTTGGAAACATTGCTAGTCTTCATTAATTACTGAAAAGTTTTAATTCAATTGTTTAAAAACAGGTACATAAGAATAAAATGAAACAAGAAAACATTTTTGTATTTTTCAAAACATAGGCCTAATCATAAATTAGGGATTTTGGTAAAAAAACACTAATCATCATAAAAAAATAAAACTTACATATTCTTGTAGAGCTCAACTATATGAAAACAAAACAAAAAAGATTTTCTGTCTAGCTCAAATAGTTTTTTTTTAGCGAATTTTTTTGTGAGGGGTGGAATCCCCTTGCTTTTGCATTGGCCAATTGTGACAAGTGATGGTATACCTGAATAAATTGAGCATAGTTATTTTACTTGCAGTTGTATTTTGTTCATATTTGCAGAGTTTAACTAGAATGATATATAGAACTTGTAAATGCTATTGAAATGAATAAAAATAATACAGAACTTATATTTTTGTGTTGGCTTCCTCCCATAACCCCAAAAAACTGTGTGCTGCGCAAATATGAAAATGTTTCTAAAGCCATATTTTATATAAATACAGCAAATGAAAGAACTACAAAGTTAGAAATCTAAAGTAAATGACTTGAACACTGTTATGTGCATATAATTGCCTCATTATTTTGGGCAGGTGAAGTAGAGTCCATCTTTAAGCCATTTTGTTATAAAACTGCCGCGCAAATATGAAAATGTTTCTAAAGCAATATTTTATATAAATACAGTGAATGAAAGAACTCCATAGTCAGAAATCTAAAGTAAATGACTTGAACACTGTAATGTGTCTATAGTATAACTGCCTTGTTATTTTGGGCAGGTGAAGTAGAGTCTATATAAAAGCCATTTTGTAATAAAATTTGAAGTTATCAGACCAATGTTTTTATGTGTGAATTGTGTATGGATTCTGATTTTCAGCATATAACTATATCTAAGGGTAAGTAGAACTTGAATACTTAAAATTACAGTTAGCACAATGCCAGTGTATAGCAACAGACAGGTAACCTAGATCTAGGTCTGACTCTTGTCAGTCTAGTCTGACAAAATTGGATTTTAGGAAAAACATATTCTGCAAAACTAGAACTAGAGCTGAAAAAATTAAAGATGGGTATGTAAATATATTTTGAAATAAAAAAATTAGGAGATTTGCTTGCACATGCCATAAGAATGCTGTTATTAGTTGATCAAACTTAAAGGCCGGAAGATCGGGATAAAAAAATATAACAATGGTGGCAGCGTGACCTACATACAGTGACTTCGTTCGGAGCAGTATAACTAATGTCGGAGTCAAAATATCCAAAAACAAATTTCATTTCCACATACTTAAGATATGTCTGATCAGTAATCTACTCTCACCTAGAATAATCTTTTAAAAAATCGTGATTCCAACGTATTTGAAACTAGCCTTCATACAGGGGGAAGACCAAAGCAGAGACAGCGTGCGATCAGATCGCTAAGCCATCAAAACAATGGGAAAACCATTCTACTTTTCATTTAACATTAGGAAATGACCTTTTAAACTTAATTAATTACCATAAATTAAAAACTTATTAGTATGCAAAACCAAATCTCGTATCAGAAAGTAATGGGCGATTTCAGGTCATGTTTTTACCGCGATCTCGGCCGATACCGACAACCCTACATAAATCCTCCTCAATTTATTAAATTAAAATTTAAGGAGTCACCTGTTTTTCACATTACTAGTCGCGGGCGATTTTACGTACCTAAAACGATAGATTACCCTAGATTCTCTCTACACAGTAGAGTAGACACTATAGACAGACACAGTCTACACTCTTCTAGTCTACAGTGTACAGTACAGTCTTAGTCTACATCTGACATCTACAATCTACATTCAGTAACATTCACATTTGATTGTCTAGAGTCTAGAGAGTAACATCCTTGGTTCGTTTACTCTAAACAAAAATTATAGGCCTAAAGTAAAAGTATTTGATCTGCATATGGTACGTAACTTAATGGAAGAGGGGAAAATTAATCATACGTTATCTGTGGTGTGTGGAAAAATAAACATTACAATTTAGTTTGCTAGGTTCATTTGTTGTCATCAGAAGGCTGCCATTTTGAAACGTCATCACGTCTGTATTTCCGATTCAATGGATATTAATTCATTGAGTATTATCCCTCAAATAACAACAAATCCTACTTAAAATTGTACAATACTTGTAATTTATTCAATAAATACTTACAAAATCATACAAGCTGACGGTAATTTCATAAAAATCTTATGATCTATGAGATGCTTAGGTTTCGGCCATGAGCGTGGAGCTCCAGTGGCACAATCGGTTAGCGCGCCGTACTTATAGACAGTACCTTCCCCATGCTAGTCATGGGATAAGTTATGCGGAGGTTGTGAGTTCGATCCTCACCTGGAGCATCCCAATTTTTTTGAGTGCTTTTTTTATATTTTGTGGTAATGAAAACTGTTGTTTTTACAAAAATTATATCTAATAGTGTTTTTTTTTTAAATGTTATATGATATATATAAAAATATATGTAGTAGTTATTTGGGCGAATGATAGAGGATATACAACAGATCTTCTGAGGAACAAACAAAAAACTACTTCTCTACATTAAATGCAAATGTTACTTGTTTTCTTTATTCAGTAAAAATTCTTTATATTTGCTCTGATAAAAATCATTTTTTCACTGTCCTACTAACCCACCTAAGTAAGATATCATGTGTTAAAAAATTATACTGCAGTAATAATAACAAAAAACAAAATAATTCTGACAGGTTTCTAACACAAAACTTATATTGATACCTGCCACACTATTGATTCTGCCACAGTGCTAACAACAATAACAAATGAAATGAAACAAACTTTTGCTTTAAAATTTCTAAGAATACATGTCTATAAATAGAATCAAAATATAGTGACAGGATATGTATTTCCTCTATCATTGGCAGAAAAAAGCACAGTAGATTAAATACATATATACATACATATATATATATATATATATATATATATATATATATATATATATATATATATATATATATATATATATATGTGTATGAAATCTACTGACATCAAAGCATGTCATCATGAAAAAGAAAAGACAAACGTTTATAAAAATTATTTTATTTTCAATTACTCACTACAAAGTTAATCTTATTAATATTATCATCACATGTTTTTTTTTTCTTTCTAAAAATATGTATGCCTATAAATAGAAGCAAAATATAGTGATAGGATGTGAGAGTATATATCAGTTACATATATATAAATGTATGTATGTATGATTGTTTGTCTTAATTGAAATAAATGTATGAGATCAGCAGATCAACTATTATTGTAGCATTTGAAAAGTAGACCAATTAGTAATGGATAAATCTACTAATAAAAGAGAATGCAAATAAATTTTAGTAAAAAAAAGTTATAAATTGTAACATAGTTAAATATGAAGTCCTACTATAAAAATCATAAAAAGGATTGATTTCACTTAACTTTCCCGAGGACCTCTTCAAAGTAAACCACAGCATCAACAATAAACATAAGACTCGTTGTTTGAAATTTCACAGCATTATAATTTCATGGAAACAATGTGAAATCACAAAATGAATCATTCAATAAAAACACTGATTTATCTACATCTGATTTCTATGATGTTATGGGCATGCATATAAAATAAAGTTTTGATCAAAGTTAATACTGACCTAAACATGGACAACTTATTTTCCAAGAACTTTCAAAGAAGGCATTTCAACCAGTTTGTGGAATTTATTTACCAGAGGTTTACTCATCTTTATCAAACTTAGCTACCACTTATCACATTTTGCTTTTTTTGTTCTAAAGAGGACATTAGTTTTTGAAAAAAAGTAAATTTAACTTAAGAAACTACTTTAAAAGAAGAATCAAACACCATTCTTTATTGTTTTCCCTGCTATTGGATGAGGTCAATTAGTGAAGAGAAACTTTTGATATTCTGGCAGCTTGTCATGTTTGCAGGAAGAAAAAATTCTTACATTATTTTTTTAAATAAAGTGATGATTTGTTCTACTGAAAAAAATCATTATTTATATCTTTATAATTATAATCCTCTAGGTAAAAAAGAATTAAGCACATTAGTAAATGAGTCGGACATGAAAAATTCCTTTATTTATGTCTAGGTACATATTTACAGCATTCAACATAAAACTTAACCAGTAGCTTGAAAAATAATTTCTCAGGTGTCTTTTTAAAATACGTGAGGTGTCTGTTTAAAATACGTGAGGCGTCTGTTGAAATTACGTGAGGCGTCTGTTGAAATTACGTGAGGTGTCTGTTTAAAATACATGAGGCGTCTGTTGAAATTACGTGAGGTGTCTGTTTAAAATACGTGAGGTGTCTGTTGAATATACGTGAGGTGTATGTTTAAAATACATGTTAGAAAAAAGTATTGTTCTACAGCCTAAGTAAAACATTTTATATGAAATATGTTAGTCACACCTACTTTCTGGACATCTGAAAAGGCACAGAGTAAATAGTATATAAAAATGTTTCACATAAAAAAATATACAGTCAATAGAGTTGAGGGGTTTATTTTTGTACACCCAACTGGAAAGATTAATGTAGAACATCATGTGTTCATCCTATTTAGATGATAAAGGGAGGATGACATCTTTTTCTGGTGGGAATATGATCAAATCTGTACTTCAACACTTGAGCAGGGCAAGTACAGTGTTGCCACATAGGCTGATCTAGGCCAAAGGAATATTTTAAGTTACTCACATAGGCTGATCTAGGCCAAAGGAATATTGTAAGTTACTCTAAACAGAAAGGAATGCTTTCCAACAGGCCCACCTAGGCTAGTGGGCAAGCACAGACCCCCCCCCCTTCCATTTCCATTACTAAAAAAAGCACACACAAAGTGGCAAGAGTCATTTTCAAACCATGATTGGACCTGTTTCACTCACATGTGACATTATGCTTTGCATATTATGGAAACAAAGTTCTCTAATGGTTGTCTGTTTTAATTTTTACATTCTCTTACTTAGGTCAAATCGACATCAGTCTGTGGTCAGGTTTGTGGTCAAATTTTTAGACTCAATTGTGACCCAATACAGCAATCATTCTCAAACTTTCCGTATCAATACATTTTGATTATGATGATATTAAATTGGTAAAAAAAAAATTAATTTCTCAAAAAAAAAAAAAAAAAACGAGAGGGGAGATAACTTAGCAGCAGCAATGACTATATGGTCAAGTGAGCTGAATGTTTACATAACTCAGGCTACAAAGGAGCAGAAATAATAGATTATATCATGTGATTTCTGTAAGGGACATGAATGGTTCATTAGGTAAACAAACATGTTTAGTCATGAGAGATGTCCGCTCAAGAAGAACTACCTTAGATAATATCAGGTCGCATGGATTTCTTTGTGAAGCTATGTAATTTTCTGTTTCCACAGACAGATCACCTAGTTCAACACAAAACAGCGACAGTTTTCTTCAAGACCTTCAGTGCACATCAAGCCAATTTGGTGGAAGGAGAGATAGTAACATAAACATACACAAATTTGTGCACAGCAAATAACAAAAATAGAGTCATACTAAGAGTAAAAGTTTGTGTAGAAAAATGACAATACACTATTGTGTAAAGGTATTTTATGCCAGAACAATTTTTGGGTGAGGGTCACTAAGTTAGTATCAATATGATCGCATTTTTATAAATACAAGAAATCGGGACAACCTTTGAGTAACATAGAAAAAAACAAGACATATTTGTAAGAGTAACAAAAACTTTACAAATTTGTATGAGTAGCATAGAAAAATACAAGTAATATTTGTAAAGTAGCATAGAAAAATACAAGTAATATTTGTAAGAGTAACATAGAAGAATACAGATATTTGCATGAAAAGAATTGAACAAATTTCATTAAAAAAATCTGATACAAGCATAAAAGTCTTATTTACAATAAACTGTCAGCAGTGTAGTGAATCATTAATATTACATTCAATACAAAACTAAACTGGTCGGTATAACAATGAAAGACGTATGGGCTTGGCAGGTCATGTATGAGATGACTGGCCATGTACGAATGTTAGACATAGCAAGTGTACTCACTTGTCAAGATGGTTACAGGAAAATATAGGCACATCTGTCAACAATATGCTTGGAGTAAACCAAAGACCACTTCACTATTATGATCACAAATACGTCTCTAGCTTTAGCAATCAATTCAACATTACAAGAAAAAATGTCTCTAACTTTAGCAATCAACTCAACATTACAAGAAAAAATGTCTCAACTTTAGCAATCAACTCAACATTACAAGAAAAAAAGGAATGGTAAATAAACATGTGTAAATGGGGGGTAAAAATTTGGTCCTCAATGAAAAAGTGTATTGGTCCATCAGTGCAAAAAAGTCAGTCATTCTGAATGTAGAAGTCAATTGTAGGCAATGTAGAATAAAGATCAAATAGAGAAAAACAAATGCAATTGTATACAAAGTTTGATCCTATGGAAATATATCATGACTTGTTCTAGTGATAGGGGAATCTGGGTTGGGGAGTTCTAGACATGTTCACCAGTTGAACAGCTACTTGACAGGAATGAAAGCTTCAACAATGTCTGGAATAGTAGACAACAAGTGTTTCACTGCTTAACAAAGGTTTCTATACATACAATAGTTGTGTGTCTGGAATAGTAGACAACAAGTGTTTCACTGCTTAACAAAGGTTTCTATACATACAATAGTTGTGTGTCTGGAATAGTAGACAACAAGTGTTTCACTGCTTAACAAAGGTTTCTATACATACAATAGTTGTGTGTCTGGAATAGTAGACAACAAGTGTTTCACTGCTTAACAAAGGTTTCTATACGTACAATAGTTGTGTGTCTGGAATAGTAGACAACAAGTGTTTCACTGCTTAACAAAGGTTTCTATACGTACAATAGTTGTGTGTCTGGAATAGTAAACAACAAGTGTTTCTCTGATTAACAAAGGTTTCTATACATACAATAGTTGTGTGTCTGGAATAGTAGACAAGTGTTTCACCGCTTAACAAAGGTTTCTATACATACAATAGTTGTGTGTCTGGAATAGTAGACAACAAGTGTTTTTCTGCTTAACAAAGGTTTCTATACATACAATAGTTGTGTGTCTGGAGTAGTAGACAACAAGTGTTTCTCTGCTTAACAAAGATTTCTATACATACAATAGTTGTGTACATTCTACAGATGTTATCAAAACACTGTCATTCACACGCTGCTGGATGAAGCATCTTTCAAATCAGAGGAGAGGGTTGATATTTGACTGTGTGTTGTGGAATGATTGTTTTATAGCAGCCTTTTTACTGGATAAGATCTACCACAAAACCTCCAGGTTGGACCCAATAAACAGCCAAGATCTACCACAAAACCTCCAGGTTGGACCCAATAAACAGCCAAGATCTACCACAAAACCTCCAGGTTGGACCCAGTGAACAGCCAAAATCTACCACAAAACCTCCAGGTTGGATCCAATGAACAGCCAAGATCTACCACAAAACCTCTAGGTTGGATCCAATGAACAGCCAAGATCTACCACAAAACCTCCAGGTTGGATCCAATAAACAGCCAAGATCTACCACAAAACCTCCAGGTTGGACCCAGTGAACCTAACTTTAAGTACATTGTCTATTCAAACAAATGTTTCTAGGTGGACATAATTGAGAGTGACTGGAGTAATATCTGTATCTTGTCCAAGTGTCCAGTGACAGCTTCTGTGCGGTAAGGCCAATCAAGACTAGGCTACCCACTCTAGTCCAGTAGAGAAGGGCTACTCACTCTAGTCCAGTAGAGAAGGGCTACTCACTCTAGTCCAGTAGAGAAGGGCTACTCACTCATGTCCAGTAGAGAAGGGCTACTCACTCTAGTCCAGTAGAGAAGGGCTACTCTCTCTAGTCCAGTAGAGAAGGGCTACTCTCTCTAGTCCAGTAGAGAAGGGCTACTCTCTCTAGTCCAGTAGAGAAGGGCAACTCACTCTAGTCCAGTAGAGAAGGGCTACTCACTCTAGTCCAGTAGAGAAGGGCTACTCTCTCTAGTCCAGTAGAGAAGGGCTACTCTCTCTAGTCCAGTAGAGAAGGGCTACTCTCTCTAGTCCAGTAGAGAAGGGCTACTCTCTCTAGTCCAGTAGAGAAGGGCTACTCACTCTAGTCCAGTAGAGAAGGGCTACCCACTCTAGTCCAGTAGAGAAGGGCTACTCACTCTAGTCCAGTAGAGAAGGGCTTTGGGCTAGTCTCTCTAGTCCAGTAGAGAAGGGCTTTGGGCTACTCTCTCTAGTCCAGTAGAGAAGGGCTACTCACTCTAGTCTTGCCAATGATGGCAGACTGTCAAGGAAGTCCACGACACTCACGAAAAGTTGGAAACAAAAAACAGTGCAAAGATTTTAATCTGTGGACAGCAAATGTGTACATCAAATATAAGACTAGAAAGAGAATTAGAGAGAACAATCAAGTATAACTCACAGCCACCAACAATCTAACACCATTACACCAAGCTAGATCACAGCCACCCAAAATGTAACACCATTACACCAAGCTAGATCACAGCCACCCACAATGTAACACCAAGCTAGATCACAGCCACCCACAATGTAACACCATTACACCAAGCTAGATCACACCCACCAACAATCTAACACCATTACACCAAGCTAGATCACACCCACCCACAATGTAACACCATTACACCAAGCTAGATCACAGCCACCCACAATGTAACACCATTACACCAAGCTAGATCACACCCACCCACAATGTAACACCATTACACCAAGCTAGATCACACCCACCCACAATGTAACACCATTACACCAAGCTAGATCACAGCCACCCACAATGTAACACCAAGCTATATCACAGCCACCCACAATGTAACACCCACAATATGGCATCATGCTAGATCTAATTACCTTGTAGGATCATCCACTTCACTAAAGCCTTGAATGTTGATCACATTCTGCTTGCCAGAGTATTCAGAGAAGCTGAGTGTGATCTGTTAGGACAAACATCACATTTTTTAAACCAGTTATTTGACCACAAACAACACATTTTTTAAACCAGTTATTTGACCACAAAAATCACATTTTTTAAACCAGTTATTTGACCACAAAAATCACATTTTTTAAACCAGTTATTTGACCACAAAAATCACATTTTTTAAACCAGTTATTTGACCACAAACATCACATTTTTTAAACCAGTTATTTGACCAAAAACAACCTGGAGTTACCGTTCATACCTAGAGTTTTTGTTTTCAGTTTGTTTTGGCAAGGTTTTATTTAGTTCGCAATGTCTGTTTGTTTGTGCCGAATCTTGCAACTCAATTTTGTTTAAATTTTCCAGATACATTCCACTTTGATGACAAATATTTCCACTTTTTAATTTAATTAGATGTTCATTAGGGGTCGGCGTGGTCGAGTCGGTAAAGCTCATGGTTGCTAAACCGAAAAGTCTCGAGATCGAACCCTCGGGCAGATGAGGCTCGTTAGCTGGGGACAGCCGCTCTTCTAGGAGAGACAACTCCGAAATTAAACAACTGCTGCCTTGTAGTTTGTTCTTGGTTGGACAAAGGCTATGGAAGCAAATCCAAAAAGAAAAGCAGGCTGAAATCGGAGTCAATGGCCTCAATGGCGCATAACCAGTTGACACGTAACGCTTAATTGTGTTGGAAGCGTGGTCGAGTCGGCAAAAAGCTCATGGTTGATAAATTCGAACAAAGTCTCGAGTTCAAACCCACTGGCAGATAAATCTCGATCCCCTTCAACACTAATAATTAAGAACAAAGAAGAAGAAGAAGATGTTCATTTTGTTATTAAAATTTAATAAAACATTTCAAAATTAAGGGTAGATAACAAAATTTAATCACTCAATAATTACTATATTCAATAACAGAAGGGAAGATAACTAGCTCTACGCAATCACCCTAACAGTCTCGTGGTTCACAACAATGTTTACAATCGTAGAAATGGTCAATCTAGTGAAGGCTATTAGGTGTAGATAATAAAGTTTTTAGACAATTTGAACTAAAGGGAGGTAGTTAGTTTAACAACTATCCTTCACTATATCTGCTTACAGATGTCTGTAGATTGTGGTCACGGACGGCTGCTTTTTTCAGGGCAGATAATCATCTTTAAGATATCGCAAGCTACTGATGATGTTTTGAAGCACATATTTTTAGTCATGTCGACTTCAGAAATTGACTAGACTTAGTCCTCTTTGCTCCTTGTGGAACATAGGGCCTCCACCATTTCATCCGATCCCCGGCTATTAATTTTGCTGTCTCCCAAGACATCCAGGTTGGCTTCAGTTCTTCAAGATGACTCCACCTCCAGGTCTGTCTTGGGCGCCCCCTCTTCCGCTTTCCCTGAGGGTTCAACTCAAGCGCTTGGCGTGTCACATTAGGGTGAGCCTTTTGCAGCATGTGTCCCACCAAGCGCCACTTCCTCTGTCTTATTTGCACACCTATAGGCTCCTGCCTAGCTTTCCTCCATAATTCTATGTTCAGCACTTTGTCCTGCCATCTCAATTTCAAAATGTGTCTAAGCATCTATTCATGAGGTCTGTATCTTCACTGTGCTTGCTTTGGAGACTCTCCATGTCTCTGCTCCATATAGCAAAACTGCCTTGATATTTGAGTTAAGCATCCTTATTTTTGTTATGGGTCGCACTGTGAAAGCGCCACAGGCTCTATTAATTCTAGCACCTCCTCTGTACCTCCCGGTTTGCTGAACTTGCTGCCAAGGTAGATAAACTCTTGCACATCATTTACATGTCTTCGGTCTATTGTCACTGGGGCCTCCTGGTTATTGTTAATTCTCATCACTTCTGTCTTTTCTTTGTTGATCTTGAGTCCTACGTGCTGAGAGATGGCTCCTAATGCATCAACTTTTTCTTGCATGTCGTATAGCCTGTACGAGAGTAAGGCAAGATCATCTGCAAACTCTAGATCCTCTTATTTCCATGTGAGTGTCCACAGTATACCTTTTCCAGAACAGGCGTAAGATGCACGCATGACTTCAGAAATTAGAAATCGCAAAAAATAGAAAATAAAACAAATATAAAAAACCTTTATAGCTACAAGCTTTTAAATGCAATGAAAATAAAAAATAAAACTAATTTACTTTCTGTACTAAAACCTTTGGTTGCTAAAATATTTTAAAAGATCTAATGACCAAAAGCTTTTATAAAAGAAAGCAAATTAGTTTGTTTTTTCTTATTTTCAGTGCATTTAAAAGCTTGTCACTAAAATTTACTATAAAGGGTTTTTTTTACATTTGTTTTATTAAATCTAGAGTTGTCTGCCCATAACTAGTTATCGCAAGAAAAAAATCAGAAGACAGTAACCATGAAGCTGACCTGTTTTTTTAACTGACTGGGCTTGATGGGCCACAGGGCCTCCAGATGTGAGTGGAACTCCTCCACCACCGTCAGCTTGTGTTTCAGCAGGTACTCTGTGAATGTGCAGGTGATTTAGTGGGCAGCAAGACAAGCATCTACTCTCATACATGACCCCAGTACTACTTGTAATACAGCCAACATGACCCCAGTACTACTTGTAATACAGCCATGACCCCAGTACTACTTGTAATACAGCCAACATGACCCCAGTACTACTTGTAATACAGCCAACATGACCCCAGTACTACTTGTAATACAGCCAACATGACCCCAGTACTACTTGTAATACAGCCATGACCCCAGTACTACTTGTAATACAGCCAACATGACCCCAGTACTACTTGTAATACAGCCAACATGACCCCAGTACTACTTGTAATACAGCCATGACCCCAGTACTACTTGTAATACAGCCATGGCCCCAGTACTACTTGTAATACAGCCATGGCCCCAGTACTACTTGTAATACAGCCAACATGACCCCAGTACTACTTGTAATACAGCCAACATGACCCCAGTACTACTTGTAATACAGCCAACATGACCCCAGTACTACTTGTAATACAGCCATGACCCCAGTACTACTTGTAATACAGCCATGACCCCAGTACTACTTGTAATACAGCCAACATGACCCCAGTACTACTTGTAATACAGCCAACATGACCCCAGTACTACTTGTAATACAGCCAACATGACCCCAGTACTACTTGTAATACAGCCATGACCCCAGTACTACTTGTAATACAGCCATGGCCCCAGTACTACTTGTAATACAGCCAACATGACCACAGTACTACTTGTAATACAGCCATGACCCCAGTACTACTTGTAATACAGCCATGACTGCAGTACTACTTGTAATACAGCCAACATGACCCCAGTACTACTTGTAATACAGCCATGACCCCAGTACTACTTGTAATAATACAGCCAACATGACCCCAGTACTACTTGTAATACAGCCAACATGACCCCAGTACTACTTGTAATACAGCCAACATGACCCCAGTACTACTTGTAATACAGCCAACATGACCCCAGTACTACTTGTAATACAGCCATGACCCCAGTACTACATGTAATACAGCCATGGCCCCAGTACTACTTGTAATACAGCCATGACCCCAGTACTACTTGTAATACAGCCAACATGACCCCAGTACTACTTGTAATACAGCCAACATGACCCCTATGACTTACCTATGATGTAGTGCACACAATGAAAGTACTACATGACTCTAACACAACTTACCTATGATGTAGCCTACAGTGCAGTCATCAGGGAGCCTGACTTTCTCAGCCGTAGTTACAAATCTGCCACCACTGAAATAGTAGACTTAAGTTAGTTGGGCTCTAACAATCAACTCTTATAAACAGGTAGTCAACATAAAATATAGACATTGGACAGCAGTGTGGCACACATACCCAGCATACGGGGCCATCTTGAGAGCCAACGAACGACTGATACAGAACCCAGCCCCGCCTGTTGCAAACCAAAACGTTAATTTCATCTGGAGATGTACACAAAAAAAGTTCCATCAACAACAGACAAGTGCAAAAGTGATGTCAAAAGTGAGGTTAAGATAAGTGGTGTCAAAAGTGAGGTTAAGATAAGTGGTGTCAAAAGTGAGGTTAAGATAAGTGGTGTAAAAAGTGAGGTTAAGATAAGTGGTGTAAAAAAATGATAAGATAAGTGGTGTAAAAAAAAAGGATAAGATAAGTGGTGTAAAAAGTGAGGTTAAGATAAGTGGTGTCAAAAGTGAGGTTAAGATAAGTGGTGTCAAAAGAGAGGTTAAGATAAGTGGTGTCAAAAGTGAGGTTAAGATAAGTGGTGTCAAAAGTGAGGTTAAGATAAGTGGTGTCAAAAGAGAGGTTAAGATAAGTGGTGTCAAAAGAGAGGTTAAGATAAGTGGTGTCAAAAGTGAGGTTAAGATAAGTGGTGTAAAAAGTGAGGTTAAGATAAGTGGTGTAAAAAAAGGATAAGATAAGTGGTGTAAAAAAAAAGGATAAGATAAGTGGTGTAAAAAAAAAAGGATAAGATAAGTGGTGTAAAAAGTGAGGTTAAGATAAGTGGTGTAAAAAAAGGATAAGATAAGTGGTGTAAAAAGTGAAGTAAAGATAAGTGGCGTAAAAGTGAGGTTAATATAAAAATAAAACAATATATTAAATGTAACAGAAGGGATATGTAGCTAAAAAATGAAGAAGATATAAAGGAACAGACCCCAGGGTTATCTCTGTCAACCACCTCTAAAGGATGCTTCAAGCTTGGCTTCCCCAGGTACCAGTCTTCTTTATAGTTGTACTTTTTCAACATCTCAACCAGTCTTGGGACATTCAAGTACACATCATCATCCATGTGGCAGAACCATCTACAGACAGCATGTACTTACATTATTGTCAGAGAGGGTGGGGAATTTGATATCTCAATACAGTTTATAACAAAACTCAATGGAAAGGTGAAAGAAAAAGGCAATACCGTTTTCTTGAAGCCAAATAATAATCAAACTCTACAGCCATTTTACAACTGAGTGCTCGTCTACAAATAAAATTGAAACAAAACAACTGATTCATAATAATAATAAATAAAAACAACTTATCTATAATGCAAATAAATAAAAATAAAATAAAAATTATTCTTAATACCAACAAACTGAAACAAATTAAATGATTCATAAAAATTAATTGAAAAAAAAAAAGTTTTGTAATGCAAATTATTGAAATAAAACAATTTTTAAAAATAAATTAAAGCAAAATAATGGATTTGTAACATTTTATCAAATGATTAAGTGCCTTAAATAATACAGTTGAAATATGTTTTTAACTCACGCATTTTTATTAATTTTCGGCTGACAATAATATTTTATAGGTCGTTTGCTAATTTATTTCTTTATATTTTGAATTAAAAAGATCTGTCTGTGTCAATATTAAAAATTTATATTATGGTTGAAACCTAATAGAAATCACAAATTATTAAAGCTTCAGCAAAACATAGAACTGCATCATAAAGCAGTTAACTTTTTAATCAACTACTCTAGTAGTGTCTGTTTCATCGGACACTCCATGCTTTGGAGACAATTATTTCCAGTAATGTTGAAAAATAAGCATTACTTTTTCTTGCTGCATAATTAAATCTCTATATTTAAATGTCTTTTGTTCCATTACTTTTACTATGTTTAAATAAAATTAAACTTAAACATTCTTCAGTACAACAAACATATTTTTTTTCAACATAAGACAGTTTCTTTAATTAAGTTCTATACATATTGATCAAGATACTGATCTCATAGCCTCAGAATAAAATAGTCACAGACAAACAGAGGGAGAGAAGTGTACACATTGGCTTTATGGATGGCTACACAGAAATAAATCCAAAATATGACAAGGAAATTATTCAGCCATGTTTTCACAGTGTCTCCATATCCAGATGTAATCAACTCAATTTTCAACAAATTCCATTGTGTAATACATACCGACTATGGTCTGTGGAACAGTTGGTGTTAATTAAATGCTCTCCTGAATAAAAAAACAAATTAAAAAATTAGAGAAGGCCATCCAATTTTAATATTATATATGAAAAAGAAACTTAATAAACCATGTAGATCTGACTCATACAATAAATAAGCAAATAAAATCCCATCAATATCCAATAGAATTCTAGAAGTAAATAAACACAGAATTAAATTATAAAAATCACCTAAAGTACTTTCCATTTCTTTGTCATTTGCATCAGTAAAAAAGTATATCTGCAAAAAAACCCAAAAAAAAAACAGTATTTTTAGTACATAAAGAATTATCATAAAATAGATTAATATTCAGATTCATCACTAAATTTATGCTTCAGAAATAAATTTAAAAATCTATTAAATCTACATTACATACTTACCTAACTATCTCTCTCTATATATATACATCTATAGGCTATATATTTATATGCCAATCGTCTATTCCTGGCTTCTTTTTGAAAATAAAATAATAGACTAAAATCGAGGCCAGCAGCGTTTTATCGTTTATCTTTTCCAGATAAGCCCCACCAAAATGTTAATCCCTGCCACCCAAAAAAATAAAAAAAATTATATGAAACTTGTACTTTTAGTTTTTATTGAAGGGGGTGAAATAGGGACGGCATTTATAATCTGCACAAAAAGGTCTGTCTTTCAGTACCTTTAACCCTAACAATCAAGGTTGCGCTTCTGCATTAAGCTGAAGCTGGCAAAAAGTGCGTATCGCTTTTGTGCTTTTTGCATTAGTGGCATTACTTATCTATCTGGAAATGGAAAAGGCCCCATTAAAATGATGGTAAAACAATATTTAGACTTCCTTATCTTCCCAGGTCTAACACTTTGACAGAGAAAACCCCTAATCACTAATTCAATGAAATAGGCCCCTAAGTAGAATGAATTAGGAGGCCTAGTGAATCTTAACTAGATCTAGCCTATATTAGGCCTATCTACTATCTATACTAAGTATACTTACTAGATCTAGTATAGTATATTTTACTTCTATTATTGGGCGCCTATACAAATGTAATGTTAGAATTCAGTTAGTTACACATTGACTGACTAACCTGTTCCCTTGCTAAAAGATACCAAGTTTTTAAAAGAAGGTCGAGTCTTGATTGGTGATATTTGGCTGTGGTCTTGACACTTATAAATATGTCGTTCAACTCAGTTTGAGTATTGAAAGATTTGATATCCCTGGATTGCTTAGAGATGGTCTCAGTCTGAACATGTGTACTGATATTTGTGTCAGCCGCATCTTTTCCCACGCCTATCCGAAACCTGTTACTGTCACTCAGCAACAAGTTGTTATCAGATTCTTGGGATTTACTCCTTAAAACAACACGTGTTTCATCGTAAGATAATGTCTGCTTTTGTCGAAATCTAAAGGCTTTATTGCTTAATAATACGGCACTGTCTTCTTTCTGAAGTGGTAAAACATCTGGGTCTAATTTCCTATGGATACCTTCACTTTTTGTCACTGCTGGTAGCGGGGCAGCTCCGCCATTGTCCTCACTGCGTCCTCTTCTTAAGTTTTGCAAAACTTTCCCACGGTCTTCAAAGTTGTCGAATCTCCAAATATTAACATTATAACTTATCCAAATGTTCAGAACCATAAAGAAAATGAGAAAGGTGGCATATTTTACCACCTTTCTTAGTGATAAGCGCATCTGGAAGCGGACACATACCTCCAGACTACCAACTTCAGAAAGAAAACATTGAGTGGTTCCCAATTTCTAACTGGGTCAGGTCATTGATATCTAGACCAAAGTTCATGGCATGCGCATGAATTTTATTTCCGTGTTTACAAAATGGCTGGTGACTCCTGGTATGTCATTTTCAGATTAAATTTAGGGATTTTTTCCTAATTATTTCCTAATTTTCTCATTAAACGTAAGTTACTAACTATATTTTATACAAACACAAATACGGATTGTTACATAAAATTAAAAATACATCGATCTGTTTACTAATATTAACTAAGAATTAAAGTCAAATTGTATTTTTGCTATGCGTCCAATGATCAGCTGGACAAGCTCGTCTGCTGATGTTGAACACGCAACCCATGATCCAAATTTTAAATCATGTGATAAGCCTATCCGCCTCTTTCAATCAAAATAAATTTGTAACAGAAGTGTATAAATATAAGCCATAAGTGTGATCATTGTCATTAATGACCTAAAACATATAGATCTAGATTTTTATATAATTATATTTATATAGATCTAAGACTAAGTAATATAGATTTAGTCTTTTAGATCTAGCTAGATCTAGTAAGAGAATATCTATATAAATTAGGCCTATAGCCTATATCAGGGGCGGAACTACCATACCGCCAGACCCCGCAATGCGGGGGGGCCCAGGACGTTTAGGGGCCCAGTTCCGACCAAAAAACAATGATTTTTTTTTCAAAAATTATGTTTTTCATACATCTTGAAAGTGGTTTTGTAAAAAAAAAAAAAACAACAGGTCTACTATAGCAGAGATTGTTGCGTAGAAAAATAATTTAAAATCTACAAGAGCTATAGTTTGAAAGGTAGGTAAACATTCACACTACTTACATGACTTACTACCCTTCTTTAAAATAAGGATGCCCACGAATCTCATTTAAATTGTTTTGCACTATGTATATTAAAAAGCAATTAATTCTCTGAATTGTTACTTAAATAAGACGTACTATACAATAGTATAGCTATAAAAATCAATGTTTTCAAATTTGATATTATAAAAGCCAAAATGAAAAAAATAAACATAACGCGAGAGAAACCATTCACGAATCAAGGTAACGTCTTTATATATTTTTGACCAGCATGTTTATATTATTTTCACTTATGATTGGTTTGGACTAAGTTTTTTTCTGGTTTGTTCTCTCAGAATGGTTATATATTGATAACTATTAAAAAAAAAAAAAAAAGAATGGTTATATATTGCAATGAAGTAGACTAAATTACTCAGTTAGGATATAGATTATATATATATATATATATATATATATATATATATATATATATATATATATATATATATATATATATATATATATATATATATATATATAGGGGGCCCTAATTTTTTCTTTGCAGGGGAGCCTTTTTTTTTCTAGTTCCGCCACTGGCCTATATGTTGACACTAAAGCATTAATATGATACCTGTTAAAATGTACAGGTTGACAGAATATGTTGACACTAAAGCATTAATATGATACCTGTTAAAATGTACAGGTTAACAGAATATGTTGACACTAAAGCATTAATATGATACCTGTTAAAATGTACAGGTTAACAGAATATGTTGACACTAAAGCATTAATATGACACCTGTTAAAATGTACAGGTTAACAGAATATGTTGACACTAAAGCATTAATATGATACCTGTTAAAATGTACAGGTTGACAGAATATGTTGACACTAAAGCATTAATATGATACCTGTTAAAATGTACAGGTTAACAGAATATGTTGACACTAAAGCATTAATATGATACCTGTTAAAATGTACAGGTTAACAGAATATGTTGACACTAAAGCATTAATATGACACCTGTTAAAATGTACAGGTTGACAGAATATGTTGACACTAAAGCATTAATATGATACCTGTTAAAATGTACAGGTTAACAGAATATGTTGACACTAAAGCATTAATATGATACCTGTTAAAATGTACAGGTTAACAGAATATGTTGACACTAAAGCATTAATATGATACCTGTTAAAATGTACAGGTTAACAGAATATGTTGACACTAAAGCATTAATATGATACCTGTTAAAATGTACAGTTTAACAGAATATGTTGACACTAAAGCATTAATATGACACTTGTTAAAATGTACAGGTTAACAGAATATGTTGACACTAAAGCATTAATATGACACCTGTTAAAATGTACAGGTTAACAGAATATGTTGACACTAAAGCATTAATATGATACCTGTTAAAATGTACAGGTTAACAGAATATGTTGACACTAAAGCATTAATATGATACCTGTTAAAATGTACAGGTTAACAGAATATGCTGACACTAAAGCATTAATATGACACCTGTTAAAATGTACAGGTTAACAGAATATGTTGACACTAAAGCATTAATATGAAACCTGTTAAAATATATGTACAGGTTAACAGAATATGACTCCTGCTCGAGGCTGGGGCAGGAGGTCATGGAACAAATCAATGAAAGAAACAAGCATGCAAGAACTAGTGCTGCTTACACTAAGGTAGGTAACACATCTTTGTGACTGCACTGTAACCAATCCAGTTGTAACTGAAGCTTGAATGAACCTTTGATGTTCAAACAGTCTGTAACCAATCCAGTTGTAACTGAAGCTTGAATGAACCTTTGATGTTCAAACATCCAGTTGTAACTGAAGCTTGAATGAACCTTTGATGTTCAAACATCCAGTTGTAAGTGAAGCTTGAATGAACCTTTGATGTTCAAACACACTGTAACCAATCCAGTTGTAACTGAAGCTTGAATGAACCTTTGATGTTCAAACATCCAGTTGTAACTGAAGCTTGAATGAACCTTTGATGTTCAAACATCCAGTTGTAACTGAAGCTTGAATGAACCTTTGATGTTCAAACATCCAGTTGTAAGTGAAGCTTGAATGAACCTTTGATGTTCAAACACACTGTAACCAATCCAGTTGTAACTGAAGCTTGAATGAACCTTTGATGTTCAAACAGTCTGTAACCAATCCAGTTGTAACTGAAGCTTGAATGAACCTTTGATGTTCAAACATCCAGTTGTAAGTGAAGCTTGAATGAACCTTTGATGTTCAAACACACTGTAACCAATCCAGTTGTAACTGAAGCTTGAATGAACCTTTGATGTTCAAACATCCAGTTGTAACTGAAGCTTGAATGAACCTTTGATGTTCAAACATCCAGTTGTAACTGAAGCTTGAATGAACCTTTGATGTTCAAACATCCAGTTGTAAGTGAAGCTTGAATGAACCTTTGATGTTCAAACACACTGTAACCAATCCAGTTGTAACTGAAGCTTGAATGAACCTTTGATGTTCAAACATCCAGTTGTAACTGAAGCTTGAATGAACCTTTGATGTTCAAACATCCAGTTGTAACTGAAGCTTGAATGAACCTTTGATGTTCAAACACACTGTAACCAATCCAGTTGTAACTGAAGCTTGAATGAACCTTTGATGTTCAAACACACTGTAACCAATCCAGTTGTAACTGAAGCTTGAATGAACCTTTGATGTTCAAACACTCTGTAACCAATCCAGTTGTAACTGAAGCTTGAATGAACCTTTGATGTTCAAACACTCTGTAACCAATCCAGTTGTAACTGAAGCTTGAATGAACCTTTGATGTTCAAACATCCAGTTGTAACTGAAGCGTGAATGAACCTTTGATGTTCAAACATCCAGTTGTAACTGAAGCTTGAATGAACCTTTGATGTTCAAACACACTGTAACCAATCCAGTTGTAACTGAAGCTTGAATGAACCTTTGATGTTCAAACACACTGTAACCAATCCAGTTGTAACTGAAGCTTGAATGAACCTTTGATGTTCAAACACTCTGTAACCAATCCAGTTGTAACTGAAGCTTGAATGAACCTTTGATGTTCAAACACTCTGTAACCAATCCAGTTGTAACTGAAGCTTGAATGAACCTTTGATGTTCAAACATCCAGTTGTAACTGAAGCGTGAATGAACCTTTGATGTTCACTCTGTTTCCTCCTGCAGCTTTCAGCCCAGATACGCTCACGGACAAGGCAGTTCACGTCTGACTTGAACAGATTGAAACAAAACTTACTGAGAGCATCCTCCTCCTATCACATGTATCCTCTGTCTGCAAGTGCTTGGTCCTAGTAGGTGACATTCATGGCTGGCTTACTTCCACTCTTTTATATTGAAACTAGCTTTTTAACTATTCAAACTTCTGTGGTTGCTAGCTTATTCCAATGTGTGTTTGTTAACTCAGTTTCATTCAGATGTGTGTTTATCATAGGTTTTATTTAAACATTTGTGTCTGTTATCTTAATTTTACTACTATATATGTTTGTTATCTGAGATAGTACAAACCTTTCTTTGTTATCTGAATGTGTAATGAGCTTTGTGTTTGTTATCTAAATGTGTAAGGAGCTTTGTGTTTGTTATCTGAATGTGTAAGGACATTTGTGTTTGTTATCTAAATGTGTAAGGACGTTTGTGTTTATTATCTGAATGTGTAAGGAGCTTTGTGTTTGTTATCTAAATGTAGTCAGCTTTTGATATTTTGTTGTTCAGGTGATGCTTACAAAGCATGCTGTAATGGTGATAGAAACAAAGCATGGTAAAAAAAAAAGTAAAGTTCCCTTTCATACCTGACGGTCTATGGTGCAAGTGAAGTAGAGTTCACTTGTTTTATGACCTTGGCATATGAAGGGATAATGTGGTCACCACTATGCCCAGCCGTCTTTACCTGCCCTAATATGAGTTTGGTAAGCACCAACGCTGGGTGGACTCAGGGACGGTCTACATACTTAAACGTGGATTCGAACACATACGGATTAACAGTCCAGCTCTCTACCGCTAGGCCACTCCATCCCCAACAATACAAGGTGTTAGACTTTATTTAGTCACAAAGTATGGTCTAAGGCTTAATTTAGTCACAAAGCATGCATGATGGTAAACTTTATTTAGTCACAAAGTATGGTCTAAGGCTTAATTTAGTCACAAAGCATGCATGATGGTAAACTTTATTTAGTCACAAAGCTTGGTGGTAGACTTTATTTAGTAACAAAGCTTGATGCTAGACTTGATTTAGTAACAAAGCTTGATGCTAGACTTTAGTAACAAAGCTTGATGCTAGACTTAATTTAGTAACAAAGCTTGATGCTAGACTTTAGTAACAAAGCTTGATGCTAGACTTGATTTAGTAACAAAGCTTGATGCTAGACTTGATTTAGTAACAAAGCTTGATGCTAGACTTGATTTAGTAACAAAGCATGGTGTGATGATGCTAGACTTTAGTTTGTGTAATAAATGGTTGAGATAGACTTGAACTGGGATGTGTTATGTGGTTTGATTCTTGGTTTGTGTAATAAATGGTTGAGATAGACTTGAACTGGGATGTGTTCTGTGGTTTGAGATAGACTTGAAATGGGATGTGTTCTGTGGTTTGATTCTTGGTTTGTGTAATAAATGGTTGAGATAGACTTGAACTGGGATGTGTTCTGTGGTTTGATACTTGGTTTGTGTAATAAATGGTTGAGATAGACTTGAACTGGGATGTGTTCTGTGGTTTGAGATAGACTTGAACTGGGATGTGTTCTGTGGTTTGAGATAGACTTGAACTGGGATGTGTTCTGTGGTTTGAGATAGACTTGAACTGGGGTGTGTTCTGTGGTTTGAGATAGACTTGAACTGTGATGTGTTCTGTGGTTTGAGATAGACATAGACTTGAACTGGGATGTGTTCTGTGGTTTGAGATAGACTTGAACTGGGATGTGTTCTGTGGTTTGAGATAGACTTGAACTGGGATGTGTTCTGTGGTTTGAGATAGACTTGAACTGGGATGTGTGAGATAGACTTGAACTGGGATGTGTTCTGTGGTTTGAGATAGACTTGAACTGGGATGTGTGAGATAGACTTGAACTGGGATGTGTTCTGTGGTTTGAGATAGACTTGATCTGGGATGTGTTCTGTGGTTTGAGATAGACTTGAAATGGGATGTGTGAGATAGACTTGAACTGGGATGTGTTCTGTGGTTTGAGATAGACTTGATCTGGGATGTGTTCTGTGGTTTGAGATAGACTTGAACTGGGATGTGTTCTGTGGTTTGAGATAGACTTGAACTGGGATGTGTTCTGTGGTTTGAGATAGACTTGAACTGGGATGTGTTCTGTGGTTTGAGATAGACTTGATCTGGGATGTGTTCTGTGGTTTGAGATAGACTTGAAATGGGATGTGTTCTGTGGTTTGAGATAGACTTGAACTGGGATGTGTTCTGTGGTTTGAGATAGACTTGAACTGGGATGTGTTCTGTGGTTTGAGATAGACTTGAACTGGGATGTGTTCTGTGGTTTGAGATAGACTTGAACTGGGATGTGTTCTGTGGTTTGAGATAGACTTGAACTGGGATGTGTTCTGTGGTTTGAGATAGACTTGAACTGGGATGTGTTCTGTGGTTTGAGATAGACTTGAACTGGGATGTGTTCTGTGGTTTGAGATAGACTTGAACTGGGATGTGTTCTGTGGTTTGAGATAGACTTGAACTGGGATGTGTGAGATAGACTTGAACTGGGATGTGTTCTGTGGTTTGAGATAGACTTGAACTGGGATGTGTTCTGTGGTTTGAGATAGACTTGAACTGGGATGTGTTCTGTGGTTTGAGATAGACTTGAACTGGGGTGTGTTCTGTGGTTTGAGATAGACTTGAACTGGGATGTGTTCTGTGGTTTGAGATAGACTTGAACTGGGATGTGTTCTGTGGTTTGAGATAGACTTGAACTGGGATGTGTTCTGTGGTTTGAGATAGACTTGAACTGGGGTGTGTTCTGTGGTTTGAGATAGACTTGAACTGGGGTGTGTTCTGTGGTTTGAGATAGACTTGAAATGGGATGTGTTCTGTGGTTTGAGATAGACTTGAACTGGGGTGTGTTCTGTGGTTTGAGATAGACTTGAAATGGGATGTGTTCTGTGGTTTGAGATAGACTTGAACTGGGATGTGTTCTGTGGTTTGAGATAGACTTGAACTGGGATGTGTTCTGTGGTTTGAGATAGACTTGAACTGGGATGTGTTCTGTGGTTTGAGATAGACTTGAACTGGGATGTGTTCTGTGGTTTGAGATAGACTTGAACTGGGATGTGTTCTGTGGTTTGAGATAGACTTGAACTGGGATGTGTTCTGTGGTTTGAGATAGACTTGAACTGGGGTGTGTTCTGTGGTTTGAGATAGACTTGAACTGGGATGTGTTCTGTGGTTTGAGATAGACTTGAACTGGGATGTGTTCTGTGGTTTGAGATAGACTTGAACTGGGATGTGTTCTGTGGTTTGAGATAGACTTGAACTGGGATGTGTTCTGTGGTTTGAGATAGACTTGAACTGGGATGTGTTCTGTGGTTTGAGATAGACTTGAACTGGGATGTGTTCTGTGGTTTGAGATAGACTTGAACTGGGATGTGTTCTGTGGTTTGAGATAGACTTGAACTGGGATGTGTTCTGTGGTTTGAGATAGACTTGAACTGGGATGTGTTCTGTGGTTTGAGATAGACTTGAACTGGGATGTGTTCTGTGGTTGAGATAGACTTGAACTGGGGTGTGTTCTGTGGTTTGAGATAGACTTGAACTGGGATGTGTGAGATAGACTTGAACTGGGATGTGTTCTGTGGTTTGAGATAGACTTGAACTGGGATGTGTTCTGTGGTTTGAGATAGACTTGAACTGGGATGTGTTCTGTGGTTTGAGATAGACTTGAACTGGGATGTGTGAGATAGACTTGAACTGGGATGTGTGAGATAGACTTGAACTGGGATGTGTGAGATAGACTTGAACTGGGATGTGTTCTGTGGTTTGAGATAGACTTGAACTGGGATGTGTTCTGTGGTTTGAGATAGACTTGAACTGGGATGTGTTCTGTGGTTTGAGATAGACTTGAACTGGGATGTGTTCTGTGGTTTGAGATAGACTTGAACTGGGATGTGTTCTGTGGTTTGAGATAGACTTGAACTGGGATGTGTTCTGTGGTTTGAGATAGACTTGAACTGGGATGTGTTCTGTGGTTTGAGATAGACTTGAACTGGGATGTGTTCTGTGGTTTGAGATAGACTTGAACTGGGATGTGTTCTGTGGTTTGAGATAGACTTGAACTGGGATGTGTGAGATAGACTTGAACTGGGATGTGTTCTGTGGTTTGAGATAGACTTGAACTGGGATGTGTTCTGTGGTTTGAGATAGACTTGAACTGGGATGTGTTCTGTGGTTTGAGATAGACTTGAACTGGGATGTGTGAGATAGACTTGAACTGGGATGTGTTCTGTGGTTTGAGATAGACTTGAACTGGGATGTGTTCTGTGGTTTGAGATAGACTTGAACTGGGATGTGTTCTGTGGTTTGAGATAGACTTGAACTGGGATGTGTGAGATAGACTTGAACTGGGATGTGTTCTGTGGTTTGAGATAGACTTGAACTGGGATGTGTTCTGTGGTTTGAGATAGACTTGAACTGGGATGTGTTCTGTGGTTTGAGATAGACTTGAACTGGGATGTGTTCTGTGGTTTGAGATAGACTTGAACTGGGATGTGTTCTGTGGTTTGAGATAGACTTGAACTGGGATGTGTTCTGTGGTTTGAGATAGACTTGAACTGGGATGTGTTCTGTGGTTTGAGATAGACTTGAACTGGGATGTGTTCTGTGGTTTGAGATAGACTTGAACTGGGATGTGTTCTGTGGTTTGAGATAGACTTGAACTGGGATGTGTTCTGTGGTTTGAGATAGACTTGAACTGGGATGTGTTCTGTGGTTTGAGATAGACTTGAACTGGGATGTGTGAGATAGACTTGAACTGGGATGTGTTCTGTGGTTTGAGATAGACTTGAACTGGGATGTGTTCTGTGGTTTGAGATAGACTTGAACTGGGATGTGTTCTGTGGTTTGAGATAGACTTGAACTGGGATGTGTTCTGTGGTTTGAGATAGACTTGAACTGGGATGTGTTCTGTGGTTTGAGATAGACTTGAACTGGGATGTGTTCTGTGGTTTGAGATAGACTTGAACTGGGATGTGTTCTGTGGTTTGAGATAGACTTGAACTGGGGTGTGTTCTGTGGTTTGAGATAGACTTGAACTGGGATGTGTTCTGTGGTTTGAGATAGACTTGAACTGGGATGTGTTCTGTGGTTTGAGATAGACTTGAACTGGGATGTGTTCTGTGGTTTGAGATAGACTTGAACTGGGGTGTGTTCTGTGGTTTGAGATAGACTTGAACTGGGATGTGTTCTGTGGTTTGAGATAGACTTGAACTGGGATGTGTTCTGTGGTTTGAGATAGACTTGAACTGGGATGTGTTCTGTGGTTTGAGATAGACTTGAACTGGGATGTGTTCTGTGGTTTGAGATAGAGTTGAACTGGGATGTGTTCTGTGGTTTGAGATAGACTTGAACTGGGATGTGTTCTGTGGTTTGAGATAGACTTGAACTGGGATGTGTTCTGTGGTTTGAGATAGACTTGAACTGGGATGTGTTCTGTGGTTTGAGATAGACTTGAACTGGGATGTGTTCTGTGGTTTGAGATAGACTTGAACTGGGATGTGTTCTGTGGTTTGAGATAGACTTGAACTGGGATGTGTTCTGTGGTTTGAGATAGACTTGAACTGGGATGTGTTCTGTGGTTTGATTCCTTGAGTGCTAGCTAGAACTCAGAGGGAGGTGGAGAGAAGACAAGGCATGATGGATGCTCTGGTCACCAGAGAGAAACAGATTGATCAAGCCACAAGAAACGAGGAGCAGTCCAGGTCAGCTCTTACTTTTCAGCACGTCATTTAGCACCTTCGTTTAGTCTGTTATTGCCTAGTTCAGCACCCTGGCATAATGAAATGTCATGATTAAAAAAAATGACCAAGTTATTTGACCTGTGTAGTGACTGAACTAATCTAGTCCAATAACCCTTCAGTTTTTTCACCCAACAGTGTACAACTTCAGTAGTCTAAACCTTTTTTTTTCATCAAAATTATTTATTTATTTGAGTTCAATATTATTTTTCATCAAAATAATTTATTTATTTGAGATGATTATTTTTTTCAACAAAATACTTGAACCATTTCAGCGTTAAGTCTGTTGGGGATAGGTAAGGACCATTACAACTCCATATTTCCCTTCAAATAGTTCATGCTGCCAGAAAATTATTTCATCATTCCTTACAGAGCTGTATCAAAACATTCCATCATTCCCTATCCCACTTTGCAGAACTGTGTAAAAAATAATAAGAAAAAAGTTTTTGATGACTAGACTGGAGCCTTAGAATGTTTCCCCACCACATATTACCACCATCTCATCTTGATCTGTCAGATTGTGCTTCTCTAGGAAAAGTTACATTAATCCTCTCACACAGAACATGGGAGCATTTTTTTTACTTTTATTATTTTTCAACATATAAATTGTTTCAATTAAGTTTCTCATCCCAACAAAGTGACACACTAATTGAAACTCTCTTAAACCGATTTTAAGTTGCTTAAATTGCAAACAAAAGTTAAGATATTTATTTTTTTTAAAAATCTCTTTTTAGCATAAATGCCATGTTGATGTCAGATATAGATATAATACTTGCCATAATAATGTTAGATAGGCAGAGATAGAATACAGGCCATAATGTTAGATAGGCAGAGATAGAATACATGTCATAGTAATGTTAGATAGGCAAAGATAGAATACATGCCATAATAATGTTAGACAGAGATAGAATAAATACCACGTTGATGTCAGATAGATAAACATTAATTGAACCAAATTTTTAGTGTTCAGCTGATAAAAGATTTCACTATTTGTTTACAAAAACGTTAAACTTAGTAAACAAAAAGTGAAAGAAGGAAAAATGTACCCTGTTGAACCTTCTTACAGTTAACCTGCTGTGGATTTTGTTTGACCCTTCATTTCTTTCTTTGTTTTCAAATACATATTTTTCTAACACCTTTAAAACCCTGATCATTGACAGCAAATTGTGAATGTTGTTATTATTTACATCCACATTTTTCTAACACCTTTAAAACCCTGATCATTGACAGCAAAATGTGAATGTTGTTATTATTTACATTCACATTTTTCTATATCCACTAAAAACTCATTCAAAATTAGGTGTACACTTACTGCGCATTAGGTGTACACTTACTACACATTAGGTGTACACTTACTACACATTAGGTGTACACTTACTACACATTAGGCGTACACTTACATTTCATGTTTGATTTACATTATGTCTATACTTAATATATTTGTGTGTACATTAGGCTACATTACAGGCAACAAATTCATTCATTATTTTCTGTTGCAACAAATTCATTAATTTTTTCTGTTGCCATTTGATGACTTCATAAATCTGCAGATAGCCTTCAGAATAATTTTAAATGCCATCGTAGATAGCCTTCAGAATAATTTTAAATGCCATCTGCAGATAGCCTTCAGAATAATTTTAAATGCCATCTGCAGATAGCCTTCAGAATAATTTTAAATGCCATTGGATAACCATATTATTCAGCTAATTGCTGTAAAGAATTATTTTTCTTAATTTAAAATATTGATTGAAAAAAAACTGGAAGAAGGGAGACAACCTAACAAAGCAGTTTCAATTATAAAAAAGTTGTTGCTTCCCTTTATATACCGTGGGAAAATATCAGAAATCCAATAAATACTAAAGCAATATTTAAAAAAAAAATCTTTTTTAATAACATTTTTCTTTTTTTATTCTCTTTTTTTTTGTGTGTGGGCTTTAGACATGTAATTTACAGCTTAAATTTGCCTTGCCATGTTCGCTTTAATATTACAGTTTTCATAATCGACTTGCGAGGACTGATACAAATACATTAGTAAAAACAAATACAGAAGAGTAATACCTACTGACATGTACTATCACCGGTTTACTTAAAATCTGAGCATTTAATTAATCAAATAATGATTTTGTTGAGAGGTGGGAGGGGTTTGGACTGAATATAGAACAGATTTCACTAGCAACCAATGCTTTTATTAAAGAAAGGAAGTTTATTTTTTAAAATTTATTTTCAAAGAATTTAAAGTTTATTATTATAGTTTATATTTAAATTATTCTTATTTAAACTTTCTAGTAATTGGTTCTTAATAAAGTCAACACCACATAAGACCTATTTGCTACCCGATCAGTGGCTTGCAATCCCAAAAAACAATATCTGCCCCTTCCAAGCGTCTCTGGAAACCAACCGTCCGTGACCAACAACCACCTCTATGGCTGGGGGTGTAATCCTGCTATCTCCCTGTGTTCATTTATAGAGTAAACTTTGTGTTCTTTATTAATTGCTAATTTTAAAGTTTAATTAAATTAAAAGTTAGATATTCTCACATTGTCATCTGGGAATTATTTATATAGAAAATAATACGAAATAACTGCATTCGATTTGAGTTTAAAATGAGTAACAAGCTTTGTCACAAACATGCAAACAAACAGACAATGTAAACTTAACAAAAGCTAATAATGGAATTAAAACACCTGGGTCATGTGAGAATACCTGGGTCATGTGAGAACACCTGGGTCATGTGTGTGTGAGAACACCTGGGTCATGTGTGTGAGAACATCTGGGTCATGTAAGTGTGAGAACACCTGGGTCATGTGAGAACACCTGGGTCATGTAAGTGTGAGAACACCTGGGTCATGTGTGTGTGAGAACACCTGGGTCATGTAAGTGTGAGAACACCTGGGTCATGTAAGTGTGAGAACACCTGGGTCATGTGTGTGTGAGAACACCTGGGGCATGTAAGTGTGAGAACACCTGGGTCATGTGAGTGTGAGAACACCTGGGTCATGTGTGTGAGAGCACCTGGGTCATGTAAGTGTGAGAATACATGGGTCATGTAAGTGTGAGAACACCTGGGTCATGTAAGTGTGAGAACACCTGGGTCATGTGAGAACACCTGGGTCATGTAAGTGTGAGAACACATGGGTCATGTAGGTGTGAGAACACCTGGGTCGTGTGAGAACACCTGGGTCATGTGTGTGAGAACACCTGGGTCATGAGTGTGAGAACACCTGGGTCATGTAAGTGTGAGAACACCTGGGTCATGTAAGTGTGAGAACACCTGGGTCATGTAAGTGTGAGAACACCTGGGGCATGTGAGAACACCTGGGTCATGTGAGAACACCTGGGACATGAGTGTGAGAACACCTGGGTCATGTAAGTGTGAGAATACATGGGTCATGTAGGTGTGAGAACACCTGGGTCATGTAAGTGTGAGAACACCTGGGTCATGTAAGTGTGAGAACACCTGGGTCATGTAAGTGTGAGAATACATGGGTCATGTAGGTGTGAGAACAGCTGGGTCATGTAAGTGTGAGAACACCTGGGTCATGTGTGTGTGAGAATACATGGGTCATGTGAGAACACCTGGGTCATGTAAGTGTGAGAACACATGGGTCATGTAGGTGTGAGAACACCTGGGTCATGTAGGTGTGAGAACACCTGGGTCATGTGTGTGAGAACACCTGGGTCATGTGAGAACACCTGGGTCATGTAAGTGTGAGAATACATGGGTCATGTAAGTGTGAGAACACCTGAGTCATGTAAGTGTGAGAACACCTGGGTCATGTGAGAACACCTGGGTCATGTAAGTGTGAGAACACCTGGGTCATGTGAGAACACCTGGGTCATGTAAGTGTGAGAATACATGGGTCATGTAAGTGTGAGAACACCTGAGTCATGTAAGTGTGAGAACACCTGGGTCATGTGAGAACACCTGGGTCATGTAAGTGTGAGAACACCTGGGTCATGTGAGAACACCTGGGTCATGTGAGAACACCTGGGTCATGTAAGTGTGAGAACACCTGGGTCATGTGAGAACACCTGGGTCATGTAAGTGTGAGAACACCTGGGTCATGTGAGAACACCTGGGTCATGTGAGAACACCTGGGTCATGTAAGTGTGAGAACACCTGGGTCATGTGAGAACACCTGGGTCATGTAAGTGTGAGAACACATGGGTCATGTAGGTGTGAGAACACCTGGGTCATGTGAGAACACCTGGGTCATGTGTGTGAGAACACCTGGGTCATGAGTGTGAGAACACCTGGGTCATGTAAGTGTGAGAACACCTGGGTCATGTGAGAACACCTGGGTCATGTAAGTGTGAGAACACCTGGGTCATGTGAGAACACCTGGGTCATGTGAGAACACCTGGGTCATGTGAGAACACCTGGGTTATGTAAGTGTGAGAACACCTGGGTCATGTAAGTGTGAGAACACCTGGGTCATGTAAGTGTGAGAATACATGGGTCATGTGAGAACACCTGGGTCATGTAAGTGTGAGAACACCTGGGTCATGTAAGTGTGAGAACACCTGGGTCATGTAAGTGTGAGAATACATGGGTCATGTAGGTGTGAGAACACCTGGGTCATGTAAGTGTGAGAACACCTGGGTCATGTAAGTGTGAGAATACATGGGTCATGTAGGTGTGAGAACAGCTGGGTCATGTAAGTGTGAGAACACCTGGGTCATGTGTGTGTGAGAATACATGGGTCATGTGAGAACACCTGGGTCATGTAAGTGTGAGAATACATGGGTCATGTAAGTGTGAGAACACATGGGTCATGTAGGTGTGAGAACACCTGGGTCATGTAGGTGTGAGAACACCTGGGTCATGTAAGTGTGAGAACACCTGGGTCATGTAAGTGTGAGAACATCTGGGTCATGTAAGTGTGAGAACACCTGGGTCATGTAAGTGTAAGAACACCTGGGTCATGTAAGTGTGAGAACACCTGGGTCATGTGAGAACACCTGGGTCATGTAAGTGTGAGAATACATGGGTCATGTAAGTGTGAGAACACCTGAGTCATGTAAGTGTGAGAACACCTGGGTCATGTAAGTGTGAGAACACCTGGGTCATGTGAGAACACCTGGGTCATGTAAGTGTGAGAACACCTGGGTCATGTGAGAACACCTGGGTCATGTAAGTGTGAGAACACCTGGGTCATGTGAGAACACCTGGGTCATGTAAGTGTGAGAACACCTGGGTCATGTGAGAACACCTGGGTCATGTGAGAACACCTGGGTCATGTAAGTGTGAGAATACATGGGTCATGTAAGTGTGAGAACACCCGAGTCATGTAAG